CCTCCGCCGCAGGGTTCCACTTCACCATTCGTGAGTGGCGTTTGGTCGTCAGCTCCGTCAACGGTGCAGCTATGGTAGCAAAATCTGCAATAAAGCGTCTATAGTAGCCAGCGAGGCCCAAAAATGACCTTACTTGCTTCTTGGTGATGGGCTGCGGCCAGTCCTGTATGGCCCGCAGTTTGGCTTCCTGTGGTTTGACCAACCCCCCGCCCAATGGTGTACCCCAGGTAGTTTGTCTCACTGAAGGCCAGCTTGCACTTCTTCGGGTTTGCCGTGAGCCCTGCTTCCCTGAGCGAATCCAGCACCGCTTGTACCCGGGGTATGTGGCTGGCCCAATCCGGACTTTGTATAACAACATCATCCAAGTAAGCCGCTGCGTACCTCTTGTGGGGCGCAAGGACTCGATCCATCAGGCGTTGGAACGTGGCAGGTGCCCCGTGGAGACCAAACGGAAGTCGGGTATACTGGTAGAGCCCCTCCGGGGTGGCAAAGGCTGTCTTCTCCTTGGACGCCGGGGTCAGGGGCACCTGCCAGTAGCCTTTTGTGAGATCAAGAGTGGTTAGGAAACGAGCATGCCCCAAGGAGTCTATTAAATCATCGACACGAGGCATTGGGTATGCATCAAATTCAGACACTTCATTCAACTTTCGATAGTCATTACAAAATCGTACTGAACCGTCTGGCTTGGGAACTAGTACGATGGGACTTGCCCAGGCACTGTGGGACTCTTCGATTACTCCCAACTCCAGCATCTTCCTTACCTCCTTCTGTATAACCACTTTACGAGCCTCTGGCACGCGGTACGGGCGCTGGTTTACCGTTCGTCCAGGCATGGTGCGGATCTCATGTTGGACCACCTCTGTGTGACCGGGAAGGGAAGAGAAGACATCCTGGTTCTGCTCCACGAGTTCCAGGGCCATCTGTCGTTGATGTGGGGACAGATTTGGACCCAGCTGAACCTCTTCTCGCGCCGGTTCCTTGGTCTCTGTGGGGGGTAGACAGCTGAACATCGCCTCTCTGGCGTGCCACTTCTTTAAAAGGTTAACATGATAAATCTGCTCAGTTTTTCTTTTATCTGGTTGCCTCACCTTGTAGTTTACTTCTCCCATGCGTTCAATGACCTCATATGGTCCTTGCCAGGTTGCCAGGAATTTACACTCAACGGTTGGCACCAGGACCAGCACTCTGTCCCCCGGCTTAAACTCCCTGGGTTGAGCAGATCTGTTGTAGGCGGCTTGCTGTTGCCGCTGACTGGCCTCCAGGTGTTCCCGCATCATGGGATAGATGGCCTTCATTCTCTCCCTCATAGCCCCGACATGGTCGATCAGTGTCCGCTGTTGGCATGGCTGCTCCTCCCAGGCCTCCTTGGCGATGTCGAGCAGTCCTCTGGGTCTGTAGGAAAGCAAGAGCTCAAAGGGTGAAAAACCAGTAGAAGACTGAGGTACCTCTCTCACCGCAAATAATATGTATGGTAACAGCTGATCCCAGTTGCGCCCATCTTCCCCTACCGCTTTCCGCAGCATGGATTTTAGTGTTTTGTTAAAACGTTCGACTAGACCATCTGTCTGGGGGTGGTAGACCGAGGTTCTCAGCTGTTTGATTTTCAGTAAAGCACAGAGTTCTTTCATCACCCTGGACATGAATGGAGTCCCTTGGTCCGTCAATATCTCTTTTGGGATTCCCAGACTAGTTGAGAGACGGAACAGCTCCTTGGCGATTTGTCTGGATGTAGCCTTCCTCAGCGGAATGGCCTCCGGGTACCGGGATGCATAGTCCAGAATGACCAGAATGTATTGATGTCCCCTGGAACTTTTCGGTAAGGGCCCGACTATGTCTAATCCAATCCTCTCAAAAGGAGTTTCGATAATGGGCAAGGGAATGAGCGGGTTTCTATATGTGGGCTTTGGCGCAACCTGCTGACACTCAGGGCAACTACGGCAGTAGTTCTCTATCTCTTTGTGTACTCCTGGCCAAAAGAAACGTTGCATGATTCTTTCCTTAGTCTTCTCTACCCCCAAGTGGGCCCCTAGCGGGTGTGTGTGTGCTAGGTTGAGTACTGTGGCCCGATAGGGCTGTGGCACGAGGAGCTGTTCATGCACTTCATCATTTTTCTTGACTATCTGATATACTAACCCCCGGTTTACTGCGAAATGGGGGTAAGTAGGGTTTGTCTTATCACCTAACACTACACCTTCTAATACCTGCACATTTCTTAAGGCATTTGCAAGAGTAGGATCTTGTAATTGAGCCGTACCATACTGGCCTGTGAGAGGGGGAAGCTCTTGGGTGCCTGGGACGTCTTCTTCACTGGAGAACGGAGCACTTTCCTGGGCTGCGTTCTCTTCTCCCGTATCCGGACCAGTCTCTGTGTCGGTCTGGGCACCTGCCATCCCTATCAGAGCCCGGGCGGGAGTGAGTAATTCGGAGGATTGCACCGGAGCCTTCCCAGGATGAGTCTTGCCTCTCCGTTTCCGAGGTACTCGGGTTATCCTCTCCTGAGACTCTCTCCAGAGTGGGTAAAAGGCTGGGCAGTCTCGTCCAATTAGGACAGGGACGGGGAGGGAATCAACCACCCCCGCCGTCGTGTGTATGGTTCCCCGTGTGCTGGTCATTGTAAGTTCAGTAATGGGGTATTCTCTGGTGTCTCCATGGACACAGGAAACTGGGAGGACTTTCCCCGGGGTCAGACACGTTGGGCCCACCAAATCCTTACGCACCAGGGTGACCCGGCTACCAGAATCCAGTAAGGCCTCCACATCATGGTGATTCACAGTTACCGGGCAGGTGGGGGGTCGATCTGGGCCGCCATCTACGACTCCCAAGAGCGAGGCAACACGGTGTGTGGGTGCTGAGCTGGAGGACTCCGCAGTGGGCATAGGTTCATCGGCTGGTTTCCCACACTGCCAGGAGATATGTCCCATCTCCCCACACCGGTAACACTGTCGAGTTTCCCCCTCCTGGTGTACTCTTCTTGGACCCGCCTGGTTTCTGGCTCCCCCTGGAGCCGGGATAAGTCCTGACGTGGCTGGGTTCGAGACCTTGGGGTCCTTTGGACGGGTTCTTCCCATTTGTGGTGGGGCCGCACTCCTGGGGTCTTTTCGGGAAGCATTCAGCATCTCCGCGGTGGCCTGGTACTTTTCCACAGCTTCCACGGTCAGATCAGCCGTGGTCAAGGCCTGTTGACTGATGAACCGTTTTGCCTCATAAGGCAGGGCGCGTAGGTAACGATCCACCACAACGGCCTCCACCACCGCCGCTGCTGTATTCCTCTGCGGATCCAGCCATTTCCTTGCGATTCGGACAAGTTCATGCATCTGCGCCCGAGGAGGTTGGTCTGGTTGGAAGGTCCAGCTGTGAAAGCGCTGGGCCATACCAAACTTTGTGAGTCCATATCTGCTGAGGATCTCAGACTTCAGGGCATCATAGTCAGTAACCTGGTCAGGGCCCAGGTCCCGGACAGCATTCAGCGATTCCCCGGTTAGGAAGGGGGCTAACAGACCAACCCACTGTTGCTTGGGCCAGGCTTCCCTAGTGGCCGTGGCCTCAAATGCATGCAGGTATGCCTCAATGTCATCGGTAGCTCCCATCTTAGATATAAAGTCACTTGCCTTTATTGGGCGGGTATTTTGGACAACCCTCTGTCTCTGCAACTGCAATTCCTCTGCCTTCAGAAGGTTGGCTTTCTTTTGCTCCTCCAAGAGAGCCACGTTTGCTTGCATCTGGGCTTGCTGGCCAGCAACCAGGGCTTTCAATATGTCCTCCATTTCAGTCGGCGGGGAGCCTACGGCCAACTTGGAAAACTGGGTGATCAAACCTTCGGTATCCTCCTCTGACATGCACTATTAACGCTTGAGTTGCCCGTATTCTCCACCATCTGTGACGTCACGAGAGGCTACACAGCTTTCAGCGGGATTGCTCAAGTAGTGCAAGGAGACAAGGTTCAAACAAAACAAGGATTTTATTAAAGGTCTTGGGAAATTAACGAAAATATAACCAAATTCTGTTCTCTTGTGGCTCTTTAAGGGTTAACAGTTCAGGGATGTCTCTTCCACATCCAAAATCATAGTTCTCACTCGCTCAGATAACTTTTCCCCAGCCTTACTGTAGTCCACGTTGCAGCTAGTGGCCAACCCAGCAAAAAGTCCTTCCAAATGTCTCTCCCGTAGTTCCACAGGCGAATATATCCAAAGGTGAGTATTTCCCAAAGGTAAGTATCTCCAAATCCTTATATCCCTCATGGAAGTGGACGTGCAGCACTCTTGTCCTCCAGAGAGCCCAGGTTGGAGACTGTGTTACTTCACAACCCACACACTCACTCTCAGTGTGTCTCTTCCCTTCAAAACCTCCAGCTCATCAGCTCCTGATCTGTTTCAGCTGCGTGGGAAGATTGGCCATAGAGGGGTGGAGTTCCCGACCATACCAGCAGATGGAGCCATAGCTGTCTGGGTTTGCAGCCATCTCAGGGGGATGTAACGTCCCTCCAGGACACAGCCTCTCGTGACATCACATTAGGTAGCCCAGTTGCCTACTATGTTTGTGGGATCTTGTTCCGTGTTAGGCTTGTATGTGTTTAGCCTGAGGACTTCACGTTACATTGTTTCTTGTTTTGTTTAATGTTTATTTGATTTAATAAACATGTTCGCATACCACGCTGCACCTTGGTCTGACCCATCTCTCAACGATCGTGACAGATCATTGAAGTATGATTGGCTTTCATTCATTTAGTTTATAATTATTTGGCCAATCAACAGCACATTAGGCTATGAGGAGTCGTAGATGTTTCTATTAACAGTGGTTTCACTGAAAAAAAAACATTAAGCATTTATGAAATATTATATTTACAAATACTGCATATATTATATTTATAAACACTACTCTTAATGTCTGAAGATTTTAAGTTGTTAGCTCTGAATGTGTTTTATGACTTAATAAAATAATAATAATATTGACAGGCAGGGATAAAAAAAACGAAACGCTACATGATTCCCAGTTTAACCATTTCAAAAATCTCCAAACACATCACAGTGGGTGATAGCATGGAGAAGTTTCTCCTGTAGTATGTCGATACTGCTGTAGTTAGGGAGGCATAACGTCACATAGCAGGTTTGTGCTTTCGGATAATATTCATCAGCATCAGTACCGCCCAAAGACGTGATTTGCATCTGCAGTTTGCAGAGACTTCGTCCTCTGGGCAGTCTGTCCGTTCCAGTTAGAAAAGCTAGAAGTTAGAAATGAGAGGAGAATAATTATCCACTGACCAAGCATTTGTGGAGCGCTACTATTATGTTACACTTATTTACTTAAAGGGGCAATCAGCAGTTGAAACAATAACAAAGTGTCCTCTACGCCACTGTTTCGGTAAAAAGCTGAAGGATGGGAGAAATGTAACCACTCTCAAATTCATAGACGGAGCCATGGATGCAAGGACTGACCATCCAAAATGATAGCTTTAACCATGTTTTGAGGCTATATAGTGTTTGTTTACCTTTATTTTGTTTACAAAGCTTATCATTTGGGTTCTGATGGGATACGACAATGAGGCATTAATAAGTTAAATTCTTCAAGAATCAATGGGTACATTAATTTATAAGTCCAAAAATGCATGTAGTAACTGCAGATTGCCCCATTAAAGTTAGTTAGTCATAATTGTGTTAACTCACTTAGGAACTTCTTATTTTCCTCCTCTGAGAACTCTGTGAAAACGCTCCAAAAGTTTTGGATGATGTCATCGGTGTGCTTATATCCTGGATACTTGGCATTCTGTTGTAGCAGAAAAATAACATAATGAAACTGCATGTACAGTAGACCATGCCACTGTATTATAGCCATAGACCGTATAGCCCAAACAGTCTGGGACAAGATTTAACCACTGGGAGCATAGAGCTGCTAGCCTGGTTGCCGTCTCTGTTCAGCTGTTACATTCCACTCCTTGCCACTCATGTCATTTGGAGTGGAATGTTAGCTAAAAAGTCTGGTATTTCAAATTATAGTGAATTATGTACTCTTATTATGTATCTAAACGGGGAATTTTACCTCTCTCAACTTGTCCCATTCGTAGTAGTCATCTCCTTGTAGAAGTGTCATAAGCTCCTCAGGTAGAAACATCCTCCATGCCTGTGTAGGGCAGCCTTTGTGGAAGCCTTTCTCAAAGTCTGCAAACTGACTCTGCATCGACTTGGTGAGCTTCATGTCAACGTACAAGTCAACATATTTCTTCCTGTTGTCATGACTCTCCCTGGGTGAGGATCAAAGGCCTCACATCAGCTTGAAAAATGGCCGACAACAACCAAACCCACTTACCCACAGGGGGGCTGTGCCGGTCTTGACACCTTAATATTGCCATAAATTAGAGAGGAGGATAATCTATCTCTGGCATTATAGTATGGTGAAAGGAATGCATTTGTTTCAGATACTTTTTGCCGCCCAAAAACTTCAACATCCAACAATGAACATTGGGACAATATATTTCAACATCCAAAAGTTGGGAATGATGAGGAATGGAATATGGAAATGAATGTCTATTTTGTGATGTCATTAAAAATGGTATAAAGGCGTTATAACAGAAACATTGTGACTTGAAGAGCTTTTACACTGTGTATATCAGGTTTACATTCTTTACATTGTGTAGAAAATATCAAGAAGGAAGACAATGTTTTCGTGAAGATAGAAATGTGATTTTAGCTTTCTAACAAAATCATAGTGATGATATTACTTTTGCCTCGTAACTAGCCACGCCTGAGGGAGCTCAGAGAGTGTGTCAGTATGACAGAAACGCCCTTCTTTACCAGAGTGCATAAAAGATTGAGATAAGAATAATCAGATCAGACTAGACAGACCTCAAGCTGCAGCTTTTGTCCATATTGGTCCCGATCCTGAAAATCAACGCGAGGTGAAGACGACAAAGTTGCCTCCACTAACAATCAATGTTACGGCTGAGTAGCTGTTCTAAGTACTGTATCTAAGAAGGTGAATTTAAGTGGGACCATCCTGTTACTCTCTTCAAACCATTGTCTACTACACTGCTCTCATCACTCCACAGGGGATCATTGACACAGCTGATTAGCCGTCCTCAGAAGACCACTTCCAGAACGAGTGAAAGTAAACAGACAACTAAGAAGAAGGATATTGTGACCTCTTGTGGACAATCTGAGCCTTACATCTAAAAGGCCATCTAAAAGAGAAGGCTCAATCGACCCCTTCCCACGAAGGCCTGGGTCCAACAGAGATACACAACGAAGACCTCCAACACGTAAATACATGCATTGCTTTTCTTCCCAAACGGGCGGCAGTTTCGGGCAAAGTATTAGGATTACTGTGAGCCTAGGTCCATGTGTATCCAAGTGTTTTCTCTCTCTCTCTCTTTAACTCGCCATCTTTTGCAACATATTGTGTTAGTCCGCTAGGGACCCGTTTTAATTGTATTAAGTTTCTAACCCCTACCTATACCATGTACGTGTTTGTATCTTGTGTTATCATTTTAAATTAGTAAGTAAATAAATAATTAAATCAATTTGTGTGGTGCGGAATAATCAGTAACACCCGGGTTCGTGCAGACTTAAAGAGCCTACGACTTTCAGAATGAGACTGATATGAGGTAAATGATTAATAAATTAAACAACTTTTCCCGTGGTGCCCCAAATTTCTGATGAGTTAATTGTTACATGATTAATTTAATCTAGTAACAATTAAACATAGTAGGTAATTATTCGATAAATAATAGTCATCACAATAATAAAAGTCACGTCACGACACTGTGAATGACATATGGCAGACCAATGTTTGGTGCGAGTATAGAACACTTCCTGTGGAATCCTCTTGTTAGTTCAAGAGATTCATAAGATTTATAAGTTGATAAGAATACTGTCATCAAATATACCTGTTGACCATGGTAACTGGGACCTCCTCTCCATTTGGTATCAGTTCTTGCCCTTTGTCCTTTGAAAGACAATAGAGATGATTACTGCATCAGCTGGGGTTACCTGTGGAGGCTACCAAAAACTGCTAAAGGTATAAATTCTCTCTTACCATGAAAACCAAATCCAGCGCTTCAACAACCTCCTCATCTTCATCCAACACATACTGTAAGCTGCTAATTTTAAACAAACAAACAAACAGTATAAATGTGATATGAGGAGATAATAGTATCTCTCTAAAATAACAACTACACTGTTAAAATGAAGTGCTTTGTAACACCAAAACTAGTGGCAACTGAGCTACCGTGTGTTGTAACACCACTTAATCAAGTATTGTGCAACACCTTGCCAGGGACTGGGAGCACTAACAGAAAAGGTTGAAAACCCTATTTTGGTGTTTCAAGTCCTGTTTAGTGCAGAATTAGATATGATTCTTTTAGTGTTGTTTCCTCTCTCTGAAGCTTCAAAACACCATTATGATGTTTTGAATCCTGTCTAGTACCGAATTAGATCCTTATATCTGGTGTCTTAATGTTTAACATTGTTTTATGTATTTGATCATCGTTTTGGCAGGCACTGTCAAGCACAGTGTTCAAACCGCCATCAGTAACTGACAGTTTAACTGCAAGTATTGAGGATTCTGCACTTGCCTCTTCCATTGACAATCATGAATGTGGGAATGGGTGCTGTCCTCATTGAACGTCAATTTGCCTGACAGTTGTGATAACCGTTCATCATGATCCATTAGACCTCATGGCTCAACAAGTTTAATACTAATATAGAAATATACTTTTCTTCCTTCAAACATGCACACAACATTGTGTGAAATAATCATGACATTAAAAATAAAAGTAATATCCACAATCCTCTGAAAACAGAGTGTCACGGAATCAGCCGAGGCTGCTCCTCCTCCTTGCTCGGGCAGGCTTCGGCGTTCATCGTCCCCGGAGTACTAGCTGCCACCGATCTATGTTTCGGTGTTTGTCTAGTTTGTCTTGATTGTTTTCACCTGTTTCCCATTATGTTACATTGTATTCCCTTTATAACCCCCTGTCTCTCATTGGTTATTGTGTGTGATTGTTTTCCATGAGGTCGGCAGTGTTCGGGTGTATGCATATTTTTGTTCCTCCGTTTGGAGGTTTTGTTTGCCGAGTGGGAGGGAATAGACGCCGCTACTGTCAACTATGCGGAGTTCACCCGCCGCTTCAGGGCAGTATTCGATCATCCACCAGAGGGTAAAGCGGCGGGTGAGCGTCTATTCCACCGTAGACAGGGGAGGAGGAGCACACAGAAGTTCGCGCTGGACTTCCGGACGCTGGCTGCCAATGCGGGATGGAATGAGAGGGCCCTCATCGACCACTACAGATGTAGCCTGAGTGAGGACGTGCGTCGGGAATTGGCCTGCAGGGACACCAACCTCAGCTTCGACCAACTGGTGGACATGTCCATTCGCCTGGATACCCTGTTGGCTACCCGCGGACGTCCGGATTCAGGGCCGTTCATTCCATCCCCCAGCACTTCCGAGCCGACCCCTATGGAGCTCGGAGGTGCTGGTGCTAGGGAGACCAGGAGAGAGACCAGGAGGGAGGCCGTCCCCTGCACCAACTGTGGCCGCAGAGGACACACTGCTGGTCGGTGCTGGGGAGGGTCTCCTAGGAATCGAGGCGGTAGGCAGCGCACTGATGAGTCATTCCAGGTGAGTAGGCACCCAACTCACCCAGAGCTCTCTGTTGCGCATATGTGTATTAAAGTTGTGTTTCCCGAGGTTTCTCCTCACTCCCAGCATAAGGCGCTAGTAGATTCAGGCGCAGCTGGGAATTTTATCGATCGCCAATTCACCTATAAGTTAGGGATTCCTATTGTACCTGTTGATGTGCCCTTCCCCATCCATGCCCTAGATAGCCGCCCTTTGGGGTCAGGATTGATTAGGGAAGTCACAGCGCCTCTCAGGATGAAAACGCAGGAGGGCCATGAGGAGATACTACGTTTGTATTTGATTGATTCTCCTGCGTTTCCCGTGGTGTTGGGGCTTCCCTGGTTAACATCTCATGACCCCAACATTTCATGGCAACAGAGGGCTCTCAAGGGATGGTCTGATCAGTGTTTCGGGCGGTGTGTAGGTGTTTTCGTAGGGGCAACGATGGTGGAAAGCCCGAACCAAGTTCCCACCATGCACATTCCACCTGAGTATGCCGATTTGGCACTCGCCTTCTGCAAAAAGAAGGCGACTCAATTACCACCTCATCGACAGGGGGATTGTGCGATAGACCTCCAAGTAGGCGCTGCGCTTCCGCGTAGTCATGTGTATCCTCTGTCTCAGGAGGAGACGGCGGCTATGGAGCCATACGTCACCGAATCTCTGAGACAGGGATACATACGGCCGTCCACTTCCCCTGCGTCCTCAAGTTTATTTTTTGTGAAGAAGAAGGATGGGGGTTTACGCCCGTGTATTGATTACCGTGGTCTCAATCAAATCACAATGAAATACAGCTATCCTCTCCCTCTGATTGCTAGTATGACGGAGTCATTACACAGGGCGCGATTCTTCACAAAATTGGATCTCAGGAGCGCGTATAACCTGGTGCGCATTAGGGAGGGAGATGAGTGGAAGACAGCATTCAGTACCACCTCGGGTCACTATGAGTACCTCGTCATGCCATACGGTTTAATGAATGCTCCTTCAGTCTTCCAATCATTTGTGGACTAGATTTTCCAGGACTTGCATGGACAGGGTGTAGTGGTGTATATTGATGACATTATAATATACTCCGCTACACGAGCCGAGCATGTGTCCCTGGTGCGTCGAGTGCTTGGTAGACTGTTAGAGCATGACCTGTATGCGAAGGCGGAGAAATGTCTGTTCTTCCAGGAGTCCATCTCCTTCCTGGGACATCGGTTGTCCGCATCGGGGGTGGAGATGGAGATTGACCGCGTTTCTGCCGTGCGTAATTAGCAGACTCCCACCACGGTGAAGGAAGTGCAGCGGTTCTTGGGTTTTGCCAATTACTACCAGAGGTTTATCCGGGGCTTTGGACAGGTAGCAGCTCCCATTACCTCCCTGCTAAAGTGGGGTCCGGTGCGTCTGCAGTGGTCGGCTGAGGCGGACAGGGCGTTTAGACATCTGAAGGACCTGTTTACCTCGGCTCCGGTGCTGGCCCATCCGGATCCCTCTTTGACGTTCCAAGTTGAGGTGGATGCGTCCGAGGCTGGGATCTGCGCTGTGCTGTCTCAGCGCTCGGGTATGCCACCAAAACTCTGCCCCTGTGCTTTCTATTCTAAGAAGCTCAGTCCGGTGGAGCGCAATTATGACGTGGGGGACAGGGAGCTGTTGGCTGTGGTTCAAGCCCTGAAGGTGTGGAGGCATTGGCTTGAGGGAGCTAAACACCCTTTTCTCATTCTGACTGACCATCGTAACCTGGAGTACATCCGGGCAGCGAGGAGGCTGAACCCTCGCCAGGCAAGGTGGGCTATGTTTTTTTCCCGATTTTGTATTTAAGCTCACCTATAGACCAGGGTCACAGAACGCTAAGGTAGACGCCCTGTCCCGACTATATGACACAGAGGAGAGATCCATTGAGCCCACTCCCATACTTCCGGAGTCTTGTCTGGTGGCACCGGTGGTGTGGGAGGTTGATGCGGACATCGAGCGGGCGTTACGTACCGATCCTACTCCCCCACAGTGTCCAGAGGGTCGGAAGTACGTGCCGCTCGAGGTTCGCGATCGATTGATATATTGGGCTCACATGTCACCCTCCTCTGGTCATCCTGGTATTGGTCGGACAGTGCACTGCCTTAGTGGGAAGTACTGGTGGCCCACTTTAGCTAAGGACGTGAGGGTTTATGTTTCCTCCTGCTCGGTGTGCGCCCAGTGTAAGGCGCCTAGACACCTGCCCAGAGGGAAGTTACAACCCCTACCCGTTCCACAACGGCCGTGGTCTCACCTATCGGTGGATTTTGTCACGGACCTTCCCCCCTCCCAGGGGACCACGACGATCTTGGTCGTTGTGGATCGGTTTTCGAAGGCCTGCCGTCTCATTCCTATGCCAGGTCTAGTTTGTCTTGATTGTTTTCACCTGTTTCCCATTATGTTACATTGTATTCCCTTTATAACCCCCTGTCTCTCATTGGTTATTGTGTGTGATTGTTTTCCATGAGGTCAGCAGTGTTCGGGTGTATGCGTATTTTTGTTCCTCCCTGTTTGGAGGTTTTGTTTGTATTTTTGATTATTTTGATCTTACTGCCCCTCCTGTTTCTAACCTGTCTAAATAAAGCATTGAAAAAATAAAGATGGAATTCCACAAAAAAATATTCTCCATAGGCCCTTATCATCAATCAATATTTAGGCTATAAACAGTTCACATTTCTAAACCAGTGATTGTATGAGAAACATCATTTTTGTGTTTGATGCTGCCTTTTACATGCATTGAAACTCCCCCCAAAAAATTCACAACACTCTTAAAAACACCAATATTCAGGTTGAAGAACCACTTTGGGTGTTTCAGAGTACTTCATTTCTGTTATAAAACATATTCTGTGTATCAAAACACTTCTATTGGGTTTACATTTAAACACCCTCCAACACCAGATCTCAGCTTAGGTGCACTACTTTTCATGGCTTCATTACACAATCATGGTGTTTTGAGACTTTCTACTTTTACAGTGTACTGTAGCAGCAGTTGAAGAGATGAACATATATTGTGGACCTCTCTTCTTTTTCAGCAGAATAATTGTACCTTGCTTCAGTTGGAGACAGCTCTTTAAGGTCATCCAATGTTGTCGTCAGACCCAGAAGCTTCTTGAAGAGAGCCAGAGGGAAGCAGAGGTTCAGAACACACTGATTATACAGTGCCATCCCACAGAGCAGCCCAAGTAAGTAGAATTCATCAGTGATATCGCCGTCCTATGGATAAAAATTAATAAATACAATGCCACAAGCCAGTAAATATTTTCAATATTTTCAATATTTAACAGTATAATAACAGTACCATAATTGACATTTCTAAGAATGGGATATTTCTAAGTTAGTAAATAAAATTGTGGGGGAAAGATTGAGTTACATCTGGGATCAATATGGAACTGAATATGGAACGTACATCTGTTGTGAGCCATGCTAGTCCAGACTCGTAAACCTCCAGTGTCTTTGGTTCCATTGTGAGAAGTTCCCTCCCCAGGAGGCTGAAGAATTCCAGTGAAACACCACCTTCATCTACACCATGCTCTGCTTGAAACTTCACCTGGAGACAAAAACAGTTTAGAGCACTTGAGATTATTAATCTAAATAGTCACACAGAAGGCTACCACATTCTCCAAAATATAGAAAAGCAGAACGCTTACCTTTAAAGCCACCATGTGGCAAGTCATTTGTCGCAGTTGCTGAAAGGTATCATCTGGACGTGTTTCCCGGTCCACCTTTAGGGTTTCGTCACAAAACCCATCGTATTCACTGTCCTCATGATAATACTTGGTTACGATTATTAAAAGTTATGTGAATATTAGAGAACTCTTTGGCAGAACAGCAAAAATATTACGCTTTGGTTCGTTCAACCTATTCTATTCAAATAGTCTGAAATCAAATAACGAATTTGATAGATCAATGTGATTTTTTGAATTGAATGAAAGCTTCTAAATTGCTTTCAACACATAGCAGGGGCGCAATGTAGCGGTGGCAGCCTATCAGACGAGTTGGAGGCGTGGACTATTCGGGGCGTGGCTTTCCGATTGTTATTTTTGGCCATCCATGAGAGTGAATGTTATTCCAGTTAATCTGTTCTTTTTTGTTTGCTAATGATTTAAATTATGCTCACTGCCAGCACTGAATCTTGAATGATATCTGTGTAAGTACTGTTATAGTAAAGAGTCTGGAAAGGTTTCCACTACTGAGATGGTCACCATTTGGTTACAATATTATAACCAGTTAATGTGAAAATGTTTGGAGATATTTTTCATGTTATGGAACCATCTTAATATCTTGATTAACAGAGAATGGATGTAATTGCTTGTAACCCAAGTGAATAAATTTGGATAGATATTTCCAAAGTGAAAAATCTACTTGGTACAACATGATAAAATGGGTTATATACAGTATATTAGTGAGTGTTAATGTTATTTATTAGGTTTAACCAAAGAGGAAAGTCAGTTGAGTGTTGAAAGAAATAGGTTGCAACTTGAAATATAGGTTTTTTAATAATCAAATATAACAGTTGGCATTAAATCATATATTTGGTTTCAACAAATGTTGTTGTTTTTTCCAATTGAGAAAACCTAACTAATTTACTTTTAACCAGTTGATGCAATTTTTTTAGGTTGATCAAAATAGTCATTTTTTACAGTGTAGTTTAAAAAAATGCAGGTACTTACTTTGATCTGATCAAATGCATACATCCACACTGTACATTTGGCTTCAGTGTCCAGGATACAGGGGTAGTTCTTCAGGAGGTATAATATGTTGTCCTAAAGTGGGAAATGTAAAGGGATATTCCACTCAAAATACAACCTAGCATAATGTCACGCCCTGGCTCTGGGACTCTGTTATGTTGAGCCAGGGTGTGTTGTTTCTTTGTGTTTTGTGTGCTAGGGTGATATGCTAGTGCTTGTGTTTCTATGTTGGCCGGGGTGGTTCTCAATCAGAGGCAACGTGAATCAGCTGTTGCTTGTTGTCTCTGATTGGGAACCATACTTAGGCAGCCGTTTGGGCATTGTCATGTGTGGGATCTTGTTCCGTATGGTTTGTGTTGTAACCACGGACTTCACGTTTCGTATCGTTTGTTGTTTAGTTCGTGTGGTGAATAATAAATAAAGTATGTTCACATTCCACGCTGCGCATTGGTCCTCTCTTCCCGACGATCGTGACAGAAGATCCCACCATAACTGGACCAAGCAGCGTGTCCAGGAGCCAACGCCAGAGGTGACTCTGAAGGATATCAACCTCGACTGGGTCAAGCCGCGGGAGGAGGAGAGAGGCTGGACTTTGGAGCAGTGGAGCAAGAGTCTGGCGAAAGCCATGGAGGCCTGGCCCACGGGGAGGAGAGACGCCCAGAAATTGTGGACGACGGGGCAGCAGGAGGCCGGCCAGGTTACGGGAGTCACTGGTCACCAGGGGGAAGGAGGATGTAGAGGCACGGCGAGAGGTACTGGGGTGTGTTGCCAGTCCGGTCCGGCCCGTTCCTGATCCCCGCATAGGGCCAGTGGTGTGTGTCCCCAGTACGGTCCGGCTTGTTCCTGTCCCTCGCACCAAGCCTGTGGTGCGCGTCGCCAGCCCGGTCCGGCCTGTTCCTGCCCCTCGCACCAAACCAGTGGTGCGCTTCGTCAGCCCGGTTCGGCCCGTCCCTGCTCCCCGCACCAAGCCTGTGGTGCGCTTCGTCAGCCCGGTTCGGCCCGTCCCTGCTCCCCGCACCAAGCCAATGGTGCGCGTCGTCAGCCCGGTCCGGCCTGTTCCTGCTCCCCGCACCAAGCCAGTGGTGCGCTTCGTCAGCCCGGTTCGGCCCGTCCCTGCTTCCCGCACCAAACCAGTGGTGCTCTTCGTCAGCCCGGTTCGGCCCGTCCCTGCTCCCCGCACCAAGCCAATGGTGCGCGTCGTCAGCCCGGTCCGGCCTGTTCCTGCTCCCCGCACCAAGCCAGTGGTGCGCTTCGTCAGCCCGGTTCGGCCTGTCCCTGCTCCCCGCACCAAACCAGTGGTGCGCTTCGTCAGCCCGGTTCGGCCCGTCCCTGCTCCCCGCACCAAGCCAATGGTGCGCATCGTCAGCCCGGTCCGGCCTGTTCCTGCTCCCCGCACCAAACCAGTGGTGCGCTTCGTCAGCCCGGTTCGGCCCGTCCCTGCTCCCCGCACCAAGCCAATGGTGCGCGTCGTCAGCCCGGTCTGGCCCGTCCCTGCTCCCCGCACCAAGCCTGTGGTGCGCGTCGTCAGTCCGGCACAGCCCGTGCCTGTTCCACCGGTGCCTGGTCCGGCACCGGTCAGCTGCTCCACTCCGGAGCTAGAGCAATCCGCTCCACCAGTGTTCAGTCCAGCTCCGGCCAGCATGGCCAGACCGGACCAGGGGCGCTTTGGGGGGTTAGAGAGGGAGTGGGGGTCATGCCCGGAGCCGGAAACCGCCTCCGAGGAGGAATGCCCACCCGGCCCTCCCCTGTTCGGTTTATGTTTGGCGCGGTCGCAGTCCGCGCCTTTGGGGGGGGTACTGTCACGCCCTGGCTCTGGGACTATGTTATGTTGAGCCAGGGTGTGTTGTTTCTTTGTGTTTTGTGTGCTAGGGTGATATTCTAGTGCTTGTGTTTCTATGTTGGCCGGGGTGGTTCTCAATCAGAGGCAACGTGAATCAGCTGTTGCTTGTTGTCTCTGATTGGGAACCATACTTAGGCAGCCGTTTGGGCATTGTCATGTGTGGGATCTTGTTCCGTATGGTTTGTGTTGTAACCACGGACTTCACGTTTCGTATCGTTTGTTGTTTAGTTCGTGTGGTGAATAATAAATAAAGTATGTTCACATTCCACGCTGCGCATTGGTCCTCTCTTCCCGGCGATCGTGACACATAATTTCCCAACTACCTTGGTTGTAGTCGATTCCCCAAGACAGTTTTCAATATATATTTTGTTTACGTAGGTATTTGTTATGTTAAAATACTAATATGTTTCTAGTGATTGAAAAATAACATAAATACCTTATAAGATTTTATTGTGCTCGATATTCTCTCACTTCCAATCCAATATGTGTCATCCTCCCATGAGAGATCCCAGACCAGCTCTGTAAGTTCTGAATTTAAGTCTTCTACCTGAGTTTGGAGAGAGGTGAAAATGCTAAGTAGACATTATGCAGTGTATTGCAGGACCTGAAATAAAACATTGCATGGTTTTTCATAAAATGATTGTTGGAGAAATGTGTATGAAATGCACTGTATTGTACACACCAGCTTAGACTGAAAGAGAGAACTGACTTTGTTGATATGGAAAGTGTTGACTGTATTTATTCTGTGTCTCTTGCTGTTCGCCTACATGCAAGAGAGTATATTGATGTGCAGTGCTGTGAACACTTAAAATGATTTGGGGCCATGACCAATATTTTAAATTATCAAATAATACCCACATCATAAAGACTTTGCAGAACCCCAAAAGTCTTCTTTAATGATTTGCCACCATCACATCGTTTAACTGCCATCTGCTGAAGGTACTCTGCTGACACTGTGTGGAATGATTTCACCACCGTTCGGAAGAAGGAATCTGACAGTGTCGACCATAGGCCCTCTGTTGGAATTAGCCTTGAGTTCAGTTGATACAAGAGCACACAGACGACCTCCTGTATCTAAAAAATCAAGACAAGACAAGAGGTGTATCGATGGATGGTGACTTTACCAAGGACCTGGAGCTTGTCTGGGTTCAGTCTGAGGATGGCTGCAGCGAAGGCCTCAGTAATGTCTATGCCACGTTGTTGTTTTAGGAGAACCCTCAGGAGCTCAGGGATGATGAGGTACACCCTCAGACCCTCCACCCCAATGGGATCCTTACTCAGGGAGGGAAGGAGTATGTGCTGGACGACTTCTTTAACCTAGAACCATGAAAGGAGTGCTTGTGGGTCACAACTAAATGACTTATTGAGTGGTCAAGTTGAATATCAAGGACAACAAACAGAAGTATTGAAAATAAGTATCTGATCATAAAGATAATAAATGAAAAAATACCTCAGCCAGAACTTTGTCCTTTTCTGCAAGCTTTTGAAAAGCCAGTCGGGCGAGTGACAAGTCCCGGCCAGAGTGCTTCAGTGAGGTTTGGCAATGTTTATCACAACTAGAGTAATAAGACCAAGAAATACTATTACATATCCAACAATAAAACAAAAAGTATTCAATAATGTGATGATAAAACATTAATGGATAGGCAGTGAGTTTTTACCTTTTGTCCAGGAAGCTCCCATTTAAACATGACGCAGAAGATAATGTTTTTGTGATTTTCCTGAAAATAAAACTGAAGAATCTTATAGTTCAGTGTATGTAAGTTCCTGAGACCTTCATCTTTTCATGTATGTTTATGTTGCCTTGTCCAATTATCAACCATCATGAGTTGCTTATTTGTATTGAGCCTGGGGACGAGGTTTATTTGTATCCTTCTCTACCTACAATATATACAAAAGTATGTGACCCCTTCTAATTAGTGGATTCGGCTATTTCAGCCACACTTGTTGCTGACAGGTGTATAAAATCGAGCGCACAGCCATGTCATCTCCATAGACAAACATTGGCAGTAGAATGGCCTTCCTGAAGAGCTCAGTGACTTTCAACATGGCACTGTCATAAAATGCCACCTTTCTAACAAGTCAGTTTGTCAAATTTCTGCCCTGCTAGAGCTTCCCCGGTCAACTGTAAATGATGTTATTGTGAAGTGGAAACGTCTAGGAGCCATGGCTCAGCCACAAAGTGGTAGGCCACACAAGCTCACAGAACGGGTTGCAACACTCTCTACCGAGTCCCAAACTGCCTCTGGAAGCAACGTCACCACAAGTACTGTTTGTCGGGAGCTTCATGAAATGGGTTTCCATGGCTGAGCAGCCGCACACAAGCCTAAGATCACCATGTACAATGCCAAGCATTGGCTGGAGTGGTGTAAAGCTCTCCGCCATTGGACTCTGGAGCAGTGGAAAATCGTTTTCTGGAGTGATGAATCACGCTTCACCATCTGGCAGTCCGACGGACGAATCTGGGTTTGACGGATGCCAGGAGAACGCTAACTGCCCGAATGCATAGTACGCTACAGCATACAATGAAATTGTAGACGATTCTGTGCTTCCAACTTTGTGGCAGCAGTTTGGGGAAGGCCCTTTCCTGTTTCAGCATGACAATGCCCCCATGCACAAAGCGAGGTCCATACAGAAATGGTTTGTCAAGATCAGTGTGGAAGAACTTGACTGGCCTGCACAGAGCCCTGCCCTCAACCCCAACGAACAACTTTGGGATGAATTGGAATGCCGACTGCGAGCCAGGCCTAATCACCCAACATCAGTGCCCGACCTTAATAATGCTCTTGTGACTGAAGGAAGTAAGTCCCCGCAGCAATGTTCCAACATCTAGTGGAAAGCCTTCCCAAAAGAGTGGAGACTGTTATAGCAGCAAAGGGGGGACCAACTCAATATTAATGCCCATGATTTTGGAATGAGATGTTCGACGAGCAGGTGTCCACATACTTTTGGTCATGTAGGGTACTTACTTCTTTATTTTCTTCCATGATTTTGAATCGCATTGCAAGATCCATCTGTCAATGATGTCATTGTCTAATGTCTGAGTCACTTTTTCAACATGGAAGTCATTCCACAATTTTCCTGATTCCTGTAATAACAATTTGATGCACTGTATTAAAACAATGTTAAGTACTAAGGACTAACTCAGAACAAACTAACTGTAAACGCAATAACTGAGCAGAGCTGCACAAGGACAAATAATGGTTTCCTCCAGCAAAGGTTTGTTCAATTTGCTGGTCATCAATGCGGTCTGAAAGTTACCCAAAAGAGTTATGATGTTATAGACCTGTCATTTTATCATTTCAGAGACTAACATTTCTGCTTAAGTATTGTATTGAGTTTCAAATAGGAGGCAGAGGAAAATAAATTATTTAACTACCCTGTGATAGCTGTACTGGCAGAGGCACAGACTGGTCCATCTTGACTCCATTTCCCAGCTGCCCTTGCTCTCCAAGCCCAAATTAGTAGATGTTTTGGAAGGAGCCCACAAACACTAATGTGTGGCTTCTAATTTGACAAACAGGATTGTAGGTAAAGGAAAAATCACAAATCAACTGTGATCCCTAAGAATGACCCCCAAAATGGATATATCCAAGAACATACCCAGTGACACTCCAAGATTGATCTTACCATACAAGCTACATCCATTGATCTTTGTATGACTATGTATGATTGTGCAGAGATTCACATGACTTACAGTACCAGTCAAAAGTTTGGACACACCTACTCATTCAGGGTTTTTCTTCTACAATGTAGAATAATAGTGAATACCAGGGACGGCCTGTTCAATAGGGCGATATGGGCGACGCACTGCCAAACGGGAAAAGGAAGGGATTTTTTTTCTAATCAATTATATCACTGCAACAGTAGTTATCAGTGTTGTAATCTATACGTCTGATCTGCCACAGTGCCACAGTGCCACTAAATGTCGAATCAGGCTAAAGTCGTGCTTCAAATGGCTCCACCCCCTTTTGGGGCGATTTCAGTCAGATTGAAAATCGCCCAGAACTTCTGTCATAGACTCCCATGTAAAATCTATTTTTTTCAAATTTCAGAGCCTTCAATACAATCTCAATGGGTGTCTGTGGGCTTGCACTTACGCGCTTTCGTCATACGTTACGTAACCATGAACGTAACTGAGAAAAGAGTGGATTGTTTGAAAGAAGTTCCTTTTTGTCGGCGAACAAATTAAGATAAATTGGCAACGAAACAATTAGGACCTCCCAGACCAAATTTAATAATTCAACAGGTTTCTACTAAAGGCGGAAAGTCCTACACCCGAGGATTTTCCAAAAATTGGTACGAACGAAAAAAGACATTGCCACTCACTCAACTGGATGACGAGGGATACAGGCTAGCTGTCCGCCGCCACAACGATGAGGTTAGTGTTGATAATCACAAGTTTACTGGATGTGGATATGGTGTAATAAAGGCAGTTTATTCAGAGGTAAATATATCTGGAATCGCGTTCACGGACCCGTTCGTCAAACTCTTAGGGAGCTATAAATTAAGCCCCATTACTTACCATATCAGATAAGAGAAATTGCTGCAGCTACATATATTTTACATCCTGGCCCTACATAGTTCACTATTTGCATCACTACCAAAATATTACATGTGGTCATATATGCTTGGAAAGTGGAGATGCCATAGAACGTCAAAAAAGTAAACATTGCTGGAGACACATTGCCGTTTTGGAGAAGACATCGCGTTTGCTAGCGAAGAGATTTGTTGTGGCAAATGAACTTGGGCTGGGAATTGCCAGGAACCTCACGATAAGATATATGCATCAGCATTGCGAGTCTCATGATTCTATACGTATTGCGATTCGATACTGTGAGTTTATTGCGCACCATATGTCTGTTGCAGAGGGATCAGAAAGCCATGAGAACGAGTTTTGATCAGTCATGGAAATAAAAGTGCTGAAAACAAATTGGCTCCCAATGTGAAAAGATTGAGAACAAGCTATGAAGGAACAATAATGGTGTTTTGGTGCAGGTACAGCCAACTAGCGCTAAAATATTGCGATATTGTCAATACAGTATATCGTAAAGTATCACTATGTAACTCGATTTCTTTCACCCCAATCCCTCAAATTAACGGTAAATAACTGAATTGTTTGCCCCACATTTAGCTAAGATGATTAGCTAGCCAGCTAAAATGTTTTAGTTAGTTAGCAGTCGCATCTACAATAGTTTACTGTCAATAACATGTCTCCAAAAATGACGTGGTGTCTCCAATTGTGTTGACATTTTACAATTGCAATGCGCATCCATGAGTATCCACTTTCTGTAGCTCAGCTGGTAGAGCATGGTGCTTGTAACGCCAAGGTAGTGGGTTCGATCCCCGGGACCACCCATACACAAAAATGTATGCACGCATGACTGTAAGTCGCTTTGGATAAAAGCGTCTGCTAAATGGCATATTATTATTATTATTATTATTATTATTATCTGAAGAGAGCCCCGAAACATTGTGTGCAGACATTTTATGCAATAAATGAAGTAGGTTCAATCTAGTAGTTCTGATCTTCTGATTGGTCCTGATGAGTTGGGCGAGGTCCCCTGCAGGCTACTGTCACTGTTGCATTGGCTCTGAGTCGGGTTCTCTGTCTTCAAATGTTCAGCCTAAGAGAGGGGATTTTTGTGTGTGTGTGTGTGTGTGTGTGTGTTTAACAGTGATGATGTGTGTGTGTGTGTGTGTGTTTAACAGTGATGATGTGTGTGTGTGTGTGTTTGTGTGTGTGTGTGTCCTCAGAGCAAGAACTCGTGAGTTGGAAGAACTGAGAGGCCTATGGCGTGGGTGTTGTCCTTGGCCACCTGCTGACAAGGCTGACAAGATAGGACCCTTTTGTCCATTGTTATTGGATAGGAACATAACTTATAACCAGCTCCTGACCTAAATAGATCTTAGCACAACATTTTACTCAACATATCATATTCCATATTCACTATAACAAATATATTTACTACGACATTAGCAAGAACCGCCACATCCTCAGCCGGCTAATCCAGTGTGTGAAGTTTTGCGGAGTGTTTGAGTTAGCTTTGCGAGGCAAAGATGAAACTGAGGGCTCCACCAACCCTGGTAAGCCAACACTTTTGAGATCAGTCAATAAATGCTTCTGGTATTGACTTATATGCTGCCCCTGTCTTCATGTTGTTGCTGGACATATCTTTTTTAAAATGTGTGTAGGTCACCTAAATCATCAGAAAAATTGCCCCTCCTGAGAATTTTTTCAGGAGCCGCCACTGGTGAATACATCAAAACTATGAAATAACACATATGGAATCATGTAGTAACCAAAAAAGTGTAAAACAAATCAAAATCAATTTTATATTTGAGTTTCTTCAAAGTAGCCACCCTTTGCCTTGATGACAGCTTTGCACACTCTTGGCATTCTCTCAACCAACGTCATGAGGTAGTCACCTGGAATGCATTTCAATTAACTTTGTTGAAAGTTAATTTGTGGAATTTCTTTCCTTCTTAATGTGTTTGAGCCAATCAGTTGTGTTGTGACAAGGTATGGGTGGTATACAGAAGATAGGTGTGTCCAAACTTTTGACTGGTACTGTAAGTCACGTGAATCTCTGCACAATCATACATCGTTTTTTGGGGGGGACTGTGTGCGGGTCTCCATCTCTTCCAGTATTCTCATGTTGATATCTGTATCTGGAACAGACACTATTTGGTATAAAGGACATTCATAGAGCACAGACAGCCTCCTATCATATCCCGTCTCAAATTGAGCAATTTAGAAACTGATGTTTACATTGGGTTAGTGCAATTGAATGCTGGTCTCCACATGCAACCTGAATTACCTGATTCAAGTTACCCACTGGTCTGAGAAAACACAAGAGAAACAGACAGACCAAAAGCGACCATTTCAATATGTTCAGTTGCTAATATTGACAGATGCATCAAAACATTGTGTGAGTAGGCCTACATAGAGATGTGTCATTCTGTCAAGGCCTACCTGGGAACATTGAAGGCAGAGGTAAGACAGAAAACTCTTCCCTCTTCAGACAGTAAAACAACATGGGTATCTCCGCAACTCAGAGCCACCATCTTCTCCCCGCACTCCACACCCTCTACACACAAAATATTAATGAAATATATTAAAGGTCCAATGCAGCCATTTTTATCTCAATATCAAATCATTTCTGGGTAACAATTAAGTACCTTACTCTGAATGTTTTCAATAAAAAATTATACAAAATTCCTTCTTAGCAAAGAGCAATTTCTCAAACAAGAATTTGGCTAGGACTGTTTGGGAGTGGTCTGAGTGGGGAGGGGTAAACTGAAAACGAGCTGTTATTGGCAAAGAGGTTTGGAACTCTCTTTCTTATTGGTCTATTAAATAATTTACCACATGGTGATGGAAAGGCCAAAGCTGCATCCCACCAAAACAGGCAGAAATTTCAGGAGGTCTTTTCAAACTAATTCTCATCATTTTCACAATATCATTCCAACCTCATAGTGTGGAAATATATTTAAAACACAAGTAAATCACGTTTTTGACTGCACTGGGCCATAAAATATATAATTATATGTTTTATCACTTCAGTAAAGAGGTGGGATTTGCACTCTTAGAAAAAAAGTGGTATCTAGAAGCACATTTTGTTTCCAGATAGAACGCCTTTGGGTTCTATGTAGAACCCTTTCCACAGAGGGTTCTACCTGGAACCCAAAAGTGTTATCCTATGGGGACAGCCGATTAACCCTTTGGAACCCTTTTTTCTACCTGCGGGAAAACATATAGGAAAGGTGTTTACTCAGTTTCCATGTGACCCTTCTCCCATCTTTGTACTTCTGATAAACACGACCACTTTATTACCTGCAGATAGATGCGTAATTGGAGATTTCGTGAGTATGAAATTTACGCAACTGTCAGTGTTCGTCTTTACCAAACCATTCTACTTCACTAAACCAAAGCCATCGCGGGTATTCTCTCCCCACGAAAAAATTATAAATGTGTTATTATTATCGCCTTCTAAACGTGTCCATAATCAGCTAATCTTGATGGAACACAGGACGGTCATTCTGCGCCCTGGGAGTCAGTGCGTTCTGAAAGTGATGAACGACACCATATGGCATAACTGTAAAAGCAACACAGCAAGAAACGAAAACGAAACTTCACAATGGGCATGGCCTGAGTAAACTAAAATATCAGGCTGGCACATCTGCAGTGGGACAGCGGCTAGGTAAATAACATATTTTAAACAAACAAACACCAGCTAGCACATTTGGTTCCTTGGCAGTTGTGAGCATGTACATTTTTGCTTTGCCATTGGTTCTGGGAACGAAACTATATGTTTCCTGACGGTTAAAACTGAACGTGTTTTAAACATTCGGAGAATGGAAGTGAAAATTTCGCCTGTTCTGGGAACGTAATTTGTTTAGGTTGCAGGGAAGTTTTCAGAACGTTTTTCTATGGTTCCCTGAAAGTTTTCTTGGGAGGTTTTATTAATGTCCTGAGAACATAAATTATAGGTTATTTGAGGGTAATTAAATAACGTTCTGAGAACATGTTTCAATAAGACTTTTAATAACACTGCTAGCTTAGTTTAACTGTTTTGAACTCCAAGCACAGATAGGACAAATGGAAATTAATTTGCTTAGGTATTAATCATGCAAACACATTTCTTTTTTTAATGTGGCATGGTGTCAGTGATATTCAAACTGATGATCGTCTGCTCTCTACCCATGGAATTAGTCCACTGCACCATGCCATGTTTTTTTTAACTCATACAATGCTGTTCCTTTTAGTCTATTCAAACAGACCCTCCTTCAAAGGAAACAAGCACTTGTTAAGATTAGTGGGTGCGGCCAACACACCTGAAAAACTTAACAAGATAGAGGATAGAGTTTTGATGACGCTGAGAGAGAAATGTATATGTTTTTAAATAACATTCTTACAATGTTTTCTTGTGGTTTTTATGGAAAGTTTTCTTAATATTTTGAGAACATGACTTTAAATCAGGGATGGAAAACTGGCTGTCCACCCCCCTTTTGTAGGCCTGCGGAAAAACAACCACGCTATCGCTCGCCATGCTCTAAGAAACGTATAGTTCTCAGAACATTATGTGCTAGCTGGGAAGGTTATGCAGGTTGTTGGAGAAACCACACCACTGCTCTGCATCGGCGGGAATACTCAATGATAAAAGAAAACACAGGAGAAACTAATATCTGTATTCATTAGATACATAAATCATTATTCTGTCAATAAAACACAAGATACAGACATAAATGTCAAACGATGATGCAGACATGTGTCCAGGAAAAAAGGATGTTCCCATGTAGAATTACATAAAATTCAAAAATAAATCAATAGAGACAACATGCATAAGTAGGCTCTTGAATGTCTATTACTGAATAAGAATGTTTTTTTTATAACTCACATTCAAAATTAGGGGACTAAGTCAAGGATTGTTTTTTCCAATAACACGGTAAACCTATACATAGCCTATACATTTGCAATTTTAAAATGTTAACTTGAAAAAGCCAAGGTTTAAACGTTTTTAAAAAAAGGTGTAAAATCTGAACCTAGATGAAGGCTATATCAACACAATCAAAATCCTGTGCTAAACTGAAGAGATGTATTGACATGTAAGAAACACATTGAATGAAATGATGAACACAGCAGTAGCCTATATATACTGTCCGTTACTCCTTCCAGAAGCCTCTGTTGTGGGCCACCGCCTCTTTGAGCCTGGCCAGCAGCATCTCCTTGGAAGGGTAGATGGGCAGAAACAGTAGGAAGTAGCAGGTAAGGGATTCTGGGAAATGTAGTTCAGTAGAGTTCTGCAGGACTGCCACAGTCATCTGGATGTTGTCCATGCCCAGGATGGGAGCGCGATCACAGCCCGTCAGGAACACTGAGAAGGAGGGGAGAGATCGTGAAAGGTAGACAGAATGGGAAGAAATATAGTGAATGTCGTTGTGCGGCAGGTAGCCTAGCGATTAAGAGCAGTGGGCCAGCAACCGAAAGGTTCCTGGTTCAAATCCTAGAGCAGGCTAGGTGAAAAATATGCTGTTGTGCCCTTGAACAAGGCACTAAACCCTAATTGCTGCTGTAAGTCGCTCTAGATAAGAGCATCTGCTAAATTACTAAAATGTCAAATGTGTTCAGACACATTTTTTTTGTAAATGCTCTTGTAGAACAGGAAGTTCTAATATGCAGACAAAACCCTAAACCAGCATTATGAAAGACTGATTGGTTCCTCCAGTTTTACTCAACCCGAGAGCAATTTAGTGCCATACTTACGGAGGAAAGCTTTCTTTTGGTCATCTGTCAGTTCCTCAAAAGCCTCCCAGAATGTGACGATGTTGGGATGTCTGGCATGGTACTCTCCATCATACACAGTGTTCTGGATATATAAAAAACAAACAAATGGCAGCAATAATTAAACAATATTAAACTCGCACTCCATTTAAACGATTCACCACTCAAAGTCATACAGTATGTCACAAAGCACCATGTACAGCTAGGCAATGTATAGCACATTATCTCCTAGTCCCAGTCCTAATTTGAGATACATACCCATAACTTGAACATCAAAGCAAATCCCCCATTGATATAAATGCATCAACACATTGATTGATTTATGCCCTAATTTCTCAAGTCAGCACCCAGCCCCATACTGAGAAATGAATGATGGTTGTATTTCTATAGACCTGTTTGAGCGTGTCCCAGTCGTAGTCCTCTTTCCCCACCATGACTCCCCTGAGCTCCTCAGGCTGGAAGAACTCCACCACATCTCTGTCACACACCTTGAAGAAGCCTCTCCTGAACTCTTCAAACACCTTCTCCGCTGATTGGTTGAAGGCGAGGTTCACGTAGGCATCAACAAACTGCTTCCTGTCAAAGAATGAATGGTATTTTAATTAAAAAATGTAAACACAGAAAACAGAACAAGCAGAAAGCATGCTTGTTGTAACTTCTAACTTCTAAAATGTGAGCCAGTTTGCTACAGCCGGAAAATAATCCTGCAGCAACAGGAAATGTGAATTATATTATGTGGATTATAATTAATGGACATTTTTGTAGGGGTTAATACATTTTTCGTAAGGGAAAATCAAGTCTGAAGCCTTTTTAAACCTCAAATATTTACTACACTTTTAAAATGTTCTGCATTGCAGGAAAGTTCTCCTGCAACAGAGTGATCAGATTCAGATCTTACATCTGTAGGATTAAATGTTGCTGTAACCTTACTTGTTAGAACTTGTGACTGGTTTTCCTGTTTCTTTGGGATCAAGCTCCACCTTCAAGTCATCCCAGATCACCTGATGAAAATAAACAGTTTTACAACTTTTCACATACTGTACCTAGTGATATTTCATTGCTCAACAATCAAACAGTTTGAATGCAATACATACGGTGAAGGTCATGTCCAGGTTTTCTTCAACATCATCATCAGTGTAGTCCTCCAAGAGGTACCGCAAACTCCTTCAATTACAATGAAAATAAATAGTTGTTGAAAAATTGTAATCAATTTCTAAGGGATACCAATTCAATGCTAAAATGTACATTCTAAAATACAAAACCTACCTTCCTAAAACAGGATCAAACTCTCTCAGGTCCTCCAGTGAGGGCTTGACCCCCACCATCTTCTTGAACAGGGCCAGAGGGAAGGGCAGGTGTACAATGTTGTGGTTGTACAGGGCCATGCCACACAAGACACCAAACAGGAAGTAGCTCTTCTCCTCCACTCTGGGCTGGTAGTAAGGATAGGTGGCACATGAGCCAAGGCAGAGATCAAGAATAAACCAGAGCAGGCACCATCCCAAGCTGTCAAGACTAGATACTTTTCTTTCTTCGTCAACTAACTTTTATATCCTTTTTTTGTATTTTTTTTGTCTGTATACTGCAATTCAGCTTTTAGCTATGAATGTGTACAAGACAGCCAAACTAATAATAAAACCTTGGTACATCAGGGGGAGAGTAGGGAGTGATGGTGATTATACACGTACACAATGCTATATTGATTGATACAGTGTAGATAGTGGCACTACTTTAGTGGTTGCATCTCTGTGGAAGATTTTTGGTATGGACTTACTAAATGTATTTTGATTGTTTTTAGAATATTCCACCATACCATTACTCATCTATTTTAATTTGCTTGAGAGTGCAGTGATTTATTCTACAGTAATGAAATCGCAATTCCCTAATTCAAATTCTTACCTTGGCAGGGAACCAGACCAGTGTCTTGGTGTCGTTGTACATGAACATCTCAGACTCTGGTGCCAACAGCTCATCAAACACATGGAGGAAGAAGTCCCTTATGTTGACGAGCGACAGCTTCATGTCCTCCACAAACTGCACCTGAGGGATAAAGCATAAGAGGTACATTTAGGTTGAGTTCTAACATCGTCTTGTAGTCTTGCGAAAAGCTTTTTTCAACATTTGTCCTTCCTAATTCTGGTTGTCATAATTTTACCACAAGTTCTCTCTGGAAGTAATCGTGATCTGCAGCACCCAGTTGTCTGAAGGTGTCTTCGATGAGTGATAGGCGCCTTAGGTTTAGCTGGAAGACTGGAGCAGGGGTTGAGTTTGGGTTGTCTCGGGACGTTCCAGAAGGACACATCACTGTCAGCAGGTGGGCGAGTTTGTGAACCTCCTGCAATATATAAATATACACTAGTTTCAAGTTTGTTTTATGCCCCGTGCACAAGTACAGTGAAGTGCAGTTCCTGCTTGCACTTTCCCAACAATGTAGTAATCAATATCAGTAAAAAACATTTAAAAAAGTAAAGTAGAACAAAAACACACAAGAAATAGAAATAAGAACACGAGAAAGTAAGTAAGCTATATACAGGGTCAGCTCCAGGGTCTATTTAGAGTGGTATACAGACTGGTCTTTGGAAACCACTGTGTAGGCTATTGTATACTTGAAAACATGGGTTCAATAAAAGGATATAAAGAAGCCAGTGGAATAATACAGTATACCTTTGTAAAATGTGCGTTATTGTTGAAAATTGCCATCTTGCAGATCAGATTCAACACAAATGGGTAACGGCAAAAGATGACAGGTGTTGACTGCGTGTCCTAGAAGTGACACAAAAGAAAACTGAAGGTGCATCTCAATAGTCTAAATGGGTTCCCTCTCTTTGTCTCATTCCTTCAATCTGCACTGAAAGAACTGGACAAGTGAAACCAGATTGACATCCACCATATTGATATCATTCTAACGTTTTTGTAATTTACAGATTTGGTTATTTTATTACCTCCCTAGTTGACCAAAAACGCCAAAGGTTCACATCCGCCAATGGAATAACACTATTGTTGATCTCTTCCACATAAAAGGTACTGGCTGGAACTTTCTGGGTTCTTCCGGCCCTTTTGTTTGCCTTTGATATAAGGTAATGTCAGCATCCAAATAGTATGTTAGGGCATGATCAACAATACTGACAGATACAGCAACTTATGAAAATGGTCAGGAGCATTATAAAATGATTGACACAGACACTGACTCTGTGGAGGTACTTGAGGGTTTCCAGCAGGAATTTGACTCCGGGGTTGTGGGTAACCAGAAGACCGTTCCTCAGCATGAATGACAAGGCATTCTTCCACATCAGAATGTGCTTAGTCATGATGTTTGTCTCCATTGAGGACCACCACTCTTCTATAAGATGGTACAAGAGTACAAAAGTACAAAATATGTCCATCATATTGCCTGACGAAAAAAACTATTATCTTATAATATATGGTTATGTGTCACAGTGTCAGATATGCTTCTACTATAATACAATTCTGTAAAATGATACTGATGCTAAATTAGCTAATAAACTGACAAGGTCAGAGGTTATATACTTAATGTTTTTATGGCCGTGTCGTTCAGATGCTCAACGATAACTATTGATAAAGCCAAGACCATCTTCATGACGCTGTGGTCCTCATGGAGAAGAGGGATTGTGGGTAGTAGCATAAAGACCTCTGGTGACTTGATGACAGCTGCTGAACTGCAAATATTGTCCACCAATGGCTCAATATTTACCTATATAGAAAATTAACAGAGAAATTAGGAAAGTAACATTTAGTTCTGTTCTAAATATTTATTCATTTAAAATATGGGTTTAAAGAGTTAGTTGAGCTTAACCGATTTCCTAATCCAAGGTATGTTCAGTAGCTGTTTGAAAACCTGGCTAGCAGCCTCTAGGTCCACTGTCAAAGCTCTGGCTGCTTGTGGAATCTCACTGGTCATAAGAAACAGAGGGCATAGCATTAGCAAGAACACAACATAGGCCTAACTGTACACATCAGGGGTTGGAACCAAAATAATTGTCCAATCATTTCTTTCTGAACAGAACCATTCTTTTTTTTGTTCCGTTCCACTGTTCCGACCAGCAAAATAAAGTTCTGAACCGGTTCGAACCCCAAAAAAAGTAACAGTTTATATTCTTCCTTTCTGTTCCTTTTTAAACCTCTGAAACCTACATTTGTTTTACATTAAATTACTTCACCAACGGATAGAGCAGCTTGCTGTGGAACGGACAAGCTATGTACATTCATTGGACAGACAAGTGTAGTGTAGGGTGCGACATGCGACTGACATTTTGCGGGTGAGGAGAGTGCTGGGCATGAAGCACTGGGCATCTTGTTGACATGACATGCATTATCTGAATTAGGCCCACATAATTATACCTATGGAGGATTGGCTTCTATTGAAGGAACTTTGAATGTCTTTGAACTTCAGAGAGTTGGCTTAACTAACGTTGGACCAGAGCTAGCCCTTGATCATGACTCTCAGTTCCATTACCTTACATATAATGCCGCCTAGAGTTTGAGAGCTAGACCAGAGCTAGCTAACAAGCTAGCCAGCTAACAAGCTTGTGTGTGCAGAGCGGCACCAGAATTAAAATAAAAACACATATTTTTGTAGTTAATAAATCTAATGTGAAACGTGATAACTATAGTATCCTTAACTAGCATTGAAAAATTTAATCCATTGTTTTCTAATTAATAATCTCTCTCCCTAATTTCGGAATTACGCCTGTAACGTCAGTATGCATACTTCGGAGGGAGGGGGAGGGCCAGGTAGTCTACACAGACACACACACACACACACACACACACACACACACACACACACACAACACACACACACAGACACACACTGGCAAAGATTTTCAGCTGGCAGGCAGGCAGACACTGGAATAAGTTTCTGAGTGACAGTGAGGGCTTTGTATACCCTTACAAAAAAAGATTGCAGTTTTGAAACTGCAGTAAAAGTGCAGTAACTGCAGTTGACTGTGTTATTTTGAACACAGTGATTGCAGAATAACTGCAATATTATAAAGCAAAATTAATGCAGTAAAAAAAAACTGTGTTATTTTGGACGCAGTATTTACAGCATACTGCAGTTATACTGCATTCTAATTATAGTTATACTGCAGTGTACTGCAGTTATACTGCAATCTGACTGCAATATTTTTTCGCAGACTGAATTAGCCTAGCTAGCTGGCTAGCTAACTAGCTTCTCTCGGTTTGATGCAGTCATAGGTACCGCTGATCTATTGGATGATAAATAACCTAGCTATGACAAGCTAGAAGCTAGTCTACTAGCGCAAGTTGGCTCGGTTGGTTGCTGCCTCTCCCACCGTCCTCTTTGCTCCCGTTTCACTCACTCACAGTACACACACCGCAAGGCCCCTCCTCCGCCTTTTTTATTTTTTATTTTTTTTATTTCCACCTTTATTTACCAGGTAACCAGTTGAGAACAAGTTATCATTTACAACTGCGACCTTTGCCAGATAAAGCAAAGCATTGCGATAACAACAACACAGAGGTTACATATGGGGTAAAACAAAACAAATTCAAAAATACAAACAGAAATAACATCTAATATAACATTGTGTTCAAATTTAGCCGTTATGGAGTAATGCCATAAATAGCTATAGTGCAAATAATTACTCCGCCTGCTCTCCCTCGCGCTGTATCAGCTCTGGTTAATAAAATAGCTTACAAATGGACTTTTCTGCTGCTTCCCTCACTCAGATCTGACCACGTCTATATGGAACTGGTCGTCCTCGGGTCCGTTTGGAACAGGTCTCTATATTGAAAAATGTATTTATGCATATTTCTACAGGTGGGAAAGCCCCAGGTCCATTTCAGAACGGGTCCAACTTTTTAGACCTCTACTTGAGGCCCAACATAACAATCTCTGTCACAACAGACAATGCCAGGAACATTGTGAATGAAACTGGACTTGGGCCACAAATAGGGTGCTTTTTAATTTAGCGTATTTTGCCAAATAAACAAAAAATAACTACAGTAACTGTTGGAATTTCATTTTTCCGCTGTACCTTAACCGAAAACCGAACTGTGACCCCAAAACCACAATACATCCCGAACTGTGGGTTTGGTGAACCATTACTGTCACACCCTGATCTGTTTCACCTGTCTTTGTGATTGTCTCCACCCCCCTCCAGGTGTCGCACATCTTCCCCATTATCCCCAGTGCATTTATACCTGTGTTCTCTGTTTGTCTGTTGCCAGTTCGTCTTGTCAGGTCTTACCAGCGTGCTTTCCTGTTTTCCTGTTTCTCAAGTGTTTATTTCCTAGTTTCCCCGGTTCTGACCATTCTGCCTGCCCTGACCCCGAGCCTGCCTGCCGTCCTGTACCTGCCTGACTGACCTGATTACGAACCTCTGCCTGCCCTGACCCCGAGCCTGCCTGCCGTTCTGTACCTGCCTGACTCTGACCTGATTACGAACCTCTGCCTGTCCTCGACCTGTCCTTTGCCTGCTCCGTGTTCTAATAAATTATCATTGAGAAGTGTACTATCCACCTCCTGTGTCTGCATCTGGGTCATATCCTGAGTCGTGATAATTACACCCCTACCCCTGGTACACATACAGTTTTCACTTTAAACTATCCAAACCTTCCATTTTAAAATAGCTTACCTGGCTTTGGTGAAACTGGCCACAAGACTTGAACTTGTTGAGAACATCAAGGATATTTCTCTGTTGGAACAAATGTGGACACATTTGATGTTTCAGTACAATTATACTATAAGAAATACAACTGCAGGGTGCAGTGACATACCCGATGGGTTGGACAATACTCTTCTCATCAATTATCTTTTTTTTTTAAAGTATACTCAACTGGAAATCAGCCAATCCTCTGTTGTTCATGCAATGGAAAGGTCAAATGATTTATTATATGAAAATTGAAAGAGCATGGGCGACGGAGACAAACAAAATGGTGCAGTTTGAGGCCATGTGGCAGAAAGTGATAAGGGTGCTGGAGATAGGGGTGGGGGTTAGCGGGTCTGGGCAGGTGTGATGTAGTGATGTTTGTATGATGTAGTTGTGTGTATGTGTATGTTTTGTATATATTCTAAAATATAAAATACAATTGTATAAAAATAATTATAAAAAAATACAACTGAACAATAAATATTTGTTTATTTCATTTTGAGTTAGCTAGAAAATAAAAAAAACGAACAAAGAACCTTTGCGCCTCTGCATTTCCTTGCTCCATTGTCAGCCATTTTTTCAGCTTGGCTTCATCTAACCTCCCGATTGGCTGTTCTCTTTCAGAACTCTACAAAGGCAGATAAAGCAATATAATACATTCAAATATCTCAAACATGAATTAGCTGCTTGAGACATTTAGACTGTTTCAGTCTTCCTATTATTGAGGTATAAAAGGTCAGAAACATTACCTCAGCGGTGTAAATGAAGTTTGAATTCCATCCCACTGATATCTTCATGTCTGATAAAAAAAAGAAAAATGTACAGAAGAGGTTGTAGGGACATCAAGTCTCGTTATGTGTTCTTATTCAGTCATTCAAACACTACATAGTCAGTATGTAGATGCATAATATAATTGAATAGAATCAAATAGAAGATAGAAGAGAATAGAATAGACATTGTATCCGGTACCGTTGTGTATGACTGTCGCTGCCCCACCAGAAGCCCTTTTCAGCAGCACTGAGGTGGGTCTCAAGCTGCCCTCTGTGTTGCCAGTCCCTAGCTGACCTTTGACCCCACTGCCAAAGGCCCAGAGTTGACCTGAGGACCCCAGCACCAGGGTGTGATGGCTGGCAGAGTTACAGTAAGACAAAAACACAGTCAAACTGAGAATGTTCAATATTGGTTTCCTATCTGTTTATTATATGTGTATATATGCGTACGAGTAACATTATGCTGTTGGTCATTACCTGCCACATGCTATCTGTGAGACCAGTCCATCCAGGCCCTCCACCAGTTTGGGTATGAGTTCGTTAGCTGATGCGTCGTGCCCAAGCTGGCCTCGGCTTCCCTCTCCAAAGGTGAACACCTGTCCATTCTAAAGACCACAAAGAACCAGAACCAGTTGTTGACAAGTCAAGCCCAGAGTTGTTCCTGGTGTGGTCAGGTCAGGGCCCTAATCACTTCTTAAAGAGACAGTATAATAGTATTGAAGGGTCGACACACTGGACTGACCTTTACCCTGGTAGCCCTGAGGCTCGATCTGTATTAAAAGCCATAATCAGGACATATTCTGTATAACCTGTGATATTCCAAACTGTAACTTCACATTTAGTATGAGATTGTATTCATGCTCTCAGATGACTTGTATGGTTAAATGTGTAGCCTCTCTCCCAGACACCCGCCAGACACTTGATGACTTGTTTTTAACCTCTGTTCAAGGTCATTTTGTATAACTGGCTATATTTACCAATATGTGATAATTGTATCTTTGAGAGGTTGCTGACTTTGTGTGCAGAACTATCTCCCAGTGGGCCCACTGTACTTTTTCTCAACTTAATGACCTGCCGTCAGATTTGTCTCCTTTCACACCAACATCTCCCTTGGAGCCTTCAGTAAAAAGACAGTAATAGTATGATACCTTGGTGAGAACAGCAGTGTCCCTCTTCACAGTAATAGTATGATACCTTGGTGAGAACAGCAGTGTCCCTCTCCACAGTAATAGTATGATACCTTGGTGAGAACAGCAGTGTCCCTCTCCACAGTAATAGTATGATACCTTGGTGAGAACAACAGTGTCCCTCTCCACAGTAATAGGATGATACCTTGGTGAGAACAGCAGTGTCCCTCTCCACAGTAATAGTATGATACCTTGGTGAGAACAACAGTGTCCCTCTCCACAGTAATAGTATGATACCTTGGTGAGAACAGCAGTGTCCCTCTCCACAGTAATAGTATGATACCTTGGTGAGAACAGCAGTGTCCCTCTCCACAGTAATAGTATGATACCTTGGTGAGAACAGCAGTGTCCCTCTCCACAGTAATAGTATGATACCTTGGTGAGAACAGCAGAATGTGCCTCTCCACAGCTGATGAAGGAAACCCCCAAGACTCTGAGAGCAGGCACTGCACAGATGTTGTACCGGCCTGGCAGGGGGAACAAGCATCATACTTACAGTGCAATGTTCCCACTCATTATAAGACATCTGTAAAATCACTTAGTGGTTATAACAAAGGAATCCAAGTTCAAATTAGAAAATGCTGGTGGATAAGCCTGATTAGCTTTTTATACAAGTAGCGTACGAAGAGAAGTAGAGTGTGCCGTAGTACCTTTCTCATCCACACGGTTGAGTCCCAGCTGCCCAGCCCCGTTTGCCCCACAGCAGTAGACCAGGCCTGGGAGGGTGAGGGCCAGAGTGTGGGTTCCTCCGGCTGCTACCTGGGTCACTGGGACCCCAGTGAGGGAGCGCACCAGGGCAGGTATGGGCTGCAGAGGCACCCCCTTCCCCAGGCCCAGCTGTCCATGGCTGTTCAGACCCCATGAGAACACCTGTCCCCCTGTAGAAGACAAAGAAATCACATATTACATTACAATGACATAACAATAACTCTGGAGTTAGATTCTTTCATAATCAACTGTGTAAATATCATCTCACTGTCCTTTTGAGGTACACTTAGAAAAAAGGGTTCCAAAAGGGTTCTTCGGCTGTCCCCATAGGATAACCCTTTTTGGTTCCAGGCAGAACCCTTTGTGGCTCCAGGTAGAACCATTTTGGGTTCCATGTAGAACCCTCTGAGAAAAGGGTTCTACATGGGACCCACAAGCGTTCTACCTTGAACCAAAAAGGGTTCTCCAAAGGGTTCTCCTATGGGGACAGCTGAATAATCCTTTTAGGTTTGAAGTGTAGTCTAACTGATGCAATGTGGTTATCATAATTTAGATGGAATGTAGTCTGTGTGAGACAAACATCAGTAGGCCTACGTCAAAAGGCACAGTACGTTATACCTTTAGTCAGGGCCAAAGAATGGGAATTTCCACAAGCAACCTGTATCACTGTTATTGGCAAGGGCGAAGGTATTGGAACTGGTCTGTAGAAGAAAAAAAATGAGATATCTAGTACATATTGTCTTTGTTAGTGATCAGTGGAATCCAAGAGGGCTCTCATTACTTGACAATGTAAATCATGGAGGATATTTAACTTTCAAGATCTATTTGAAGTTGAAGTTGAGGTTTCCTTGCCTTGGTCTGGGGACTTTGGAGACAGTAGTAGGGGCGATGCCCAGCTGTCCCTCCCCCCCTGCCCCCCAGGAGTACACCTGTCCTGATGCACACACAGCTACACAGTGGTCCTGACCACAAGCCACAGAGACCACTCCCGCCAGACCCTCCACTGGCGCTGAAACGGGTAGAACACACACACGCACACACAAGTAAGTAAGCACTTCACGGTAAGGTTGTATTCGGCGCATGTGACGAATAACGTTTGATTTGATTTGATTTTACACCGTTACATTTGGAAGTCATATTTTGTCTTGCAAAGGGTTAAATGCCAGAACATTGATACGATGTAATTTAATGCATGAAGGAGTTAATCAATCATTATCCGAGTCATCTTGAGGATGACGTCAAGTTCGATCCCAGTTTGTATTTCTAGAAACATTGCAACATTTTGAGAGAAACGAAACTGGAACCAAACCATGAGCGCCTATTGTGCAGTAGTTTTATTGAGGGATGTCAGTTTCTGAAAGTTGTCGTTAAACTCAGCAGAAACTAAACATTCTATCATCTGACATTATGAACAATACCCCTAAAATATTTGTAGTAGTGATGAAAAAGAATAAACGGATTCAGAGTCAAACAAACGTACTTTTCCAGTAGCACTTTTTTCAAATTAGCCTACATAAGATTTTTATTATAATCTGCACTTATTCTGCAAATTCTGCCTACATATTCCGATAGCATTCATTTATGATTTACCTGGTAGTTTTGAATCTCTGTTCTTCTGTCTGCCAAGTTGTCCCTTTGAGTTGCGCCCGCATGATAGGATCCTGCCATCTACCGTGAGAAATAAAGTGTGTTGCTCCCCGCAAGCAATTTCTGTGACTTTATCAGATAATATATTCCCTGCTATAGGAACAGACACATTCTCAAAGTTTAGACCAAACTGTCCACTCGAACTGTCTCCCCAGCACAACATGATGATGTGAATGAAGATGAAGGTGATGCCTGAGGTTAAATTAGTAATGATGCAGTCCACCCTGATGCAGTCCACCCTGCGCGTGGGTGTGGTTTACATTAGTCATCAGCGATCATATTAGCTAGATTGTTTTATGTAAAAATGAATTGGACACCATCTGTTTTGAGCCCCACCTGTTTAGCTTGAAAAAAATATACAGTACCAGTCAAAAGTTTGTACACACCTACTCATTCAAGGGTTTTTCTTTATTTCTACATTGTAGAATAAAAGTGAAGACATCAAAACTATGAAATAACACATATCGAATCATGTTGTAACCAAAGAAGTGTTAAACAAATCAAAATGTATTTTAGATTTTAGATTCTTCAAATAGTCACCCTTTGCCTTTATGACAGCTTTGCACACTCTTGGCATTCTCTCAACCAGCTTCACCTGGAATGCATTTCCAACAGTCTTGAAGGAGTTCCCACATATGCTGAGCACTTGTTGGCTGCTTTTCCTTCACTCTGCTGTCCGACTCATCCCAAACCATCTCAATTGGGTTGAGGTCGGGGGATTGTGGAGGCCAGGTCATCTGATGCAGCACTCCATCACTCTCCTTCTTGGTAAAATAGCCCTTACACAGCCTGGAGGTGTGTTGGGTCATTGTCCTGTTGAAAAACAAATGATAGTCCCACTAAGCCCAAACCAGATGGGATGGCGTATCGCTGCAGAATGCTGTGGTAGCCATGCTGGTTAAGTGTGCCTTGAATTCTAAATAAATCACAGACAGTGTCAACAGCAAAGCACCCCCACACCATAACACCTCCTCCTCCATGCTTTACGGTGGGAACTACACATGCGGAGATCTTCCGTTCACCCACACCGCGTCTCACAAAGACATGGCGGTTGGAACCAAAAATCTCCAATTTGGACTTCAGACCAAAGGACAAATTTCCACTGGTCTAATATCCATTGCTCGTGTTTCTTGGCCCAAGTAGGTCTCTTCTTCTTATTGGTGTCCTTTAATAGTGGTTTCTTTGCAGCAATTCGACCATGAAGGCCTGATTCACACAGTCCCCTCTGAACAGTTGATGTTGAGATGTGTCTGTGACTTGAACTCTGTGAAGCATTTATTTGGGCTGCAATTTCTGAGGCTGGTAACTCTAATGGACCTATCCTCTACAGCAGAGGTAACTCTGGATCTTCCATTCCTGTGGCGGTCCTCATGAGAGCCAGTTTCATCAAAGTGCTTGATGGTTTTTGCGACTGCACTTGAAGAAACTTTCAAAGTTCTTGAAATTGTCCGTATTGACTGACCTTCATGTCTTAAAGTAATGATGGACTGTCGTTTCTCTTTGCATATATGAGTTGTTCTTGCCATAATATGGACTTGGCCTTTTACCAAATAGGGCTATCTTCTGTATACCCCCCCTACCTTGTCACAACACAACTGATTGGCTCAAACGTATTAAGAAGGAAAGAAATTCTACAAATTAACTTTTAAGAAGGCACACCTGTTAATTGAAATGCATTTCAGGTGACTATCTCATGAAGCTGGTTGAGAGAATGCCAAGAGTGTGCAAAGCTGTCATCAAGGCAAAGGGTGGCTATTAAAATAATCTCAAATATAACATATATTTTGATTTGTTTAACACTTTTTTGGTGTTATTTCATAGTTTTGATGTCTTCACTATTATTCTACAATGTAAAAAATAGTAAAAATAAAGAAAAACCCTTGAATGAGTAGGTGTGTCCAAACTTTTGACTGGTAGTGTATATATGTTGTTTTTGTCACGCAGGAATACGTATTAGGGGTTTTATTTACTCCACCCAACACAAGGTACGTCATGGAAAACGACGGGGATGACGCCCAAAACAAACACGTATGTATATATACCAAAGGGATGTAACCCAAACAAAAGAGCGAGGTGTAACCTCTACACAATACACGGGACGAGACCCGTAAACAACAAGAGCACAATACACGGTACTCACGAGACCAACGGACATGGGACAACGATCGACAAGGACATTGGGGAACAGAGGGCACATATATACACATACTAATCAGGGGGAATGGGAACCAGGTGTGCGTAATGAGACAAGACAGTCCGGGTTTGGTGGTAATAATCCATGTCAGTGATGCCTAGAAAGCCGGTGACGTAGACCTCCGGAACTGGTGAACGGAATGAGCAGCAGTACCGGGGGGATCTGCGACAGTGTGTGCAGCGTTCCAGATCTCCTCAGCGTACCGAAACCACTCGTCCACCGCAGGGGCCTCGGTCTGGCTCAGATGCCAAGGTGCCAGGGCCGGCTGTTACCCCAACACGCACTGGAAATGAGTGAGGTTAGTGGAGGAGTGGCAGAGGGAATTCTGCGCGTACTCAGCCCAAGGTAGAAAATCCACCCACTCCCACGGCCGGTCCTGACAGTAACACCTCAGGAACCTGCCCACTTCCTGATTGACCCTCTCCACCTGCCCATTAGGTACCCAGAGGTGAGACTGACCGTGACCCCCAGGCGTTCCATGAACGTTTTCCATACGTGTGAGGTGAACTGAGGACCATGGTCTGACACAATGTCTTCCGCAGTTTACATGGCCGACGGGAGCCCAGGCAGAAGAAGGAGGCGACAAGCTTTGGAAAACCGGTCCACAACGACGAGAACGGTGGTGTTCCCCTGGGAGGGGGGGAAGGTCAGTGACAAAGTCCACCTAGAGGTGAGACCAGGGTTGTTGTGGAACCAGCAGGGGAAGGAGCTTTCGATAAGGGAGGTGTCTGGGTGTCTTAGACTGGGCACAGAACGGAGCAGGAAGAGACTTAAACCTGGACGTCCCTAGCCAAGGTGGGCCACCAGTACTTCTCAGTCAGGCAGGCGATGGTACGGCCTATCCCAGGATGACCTGACACAGGCGCCGTGTGCGCCCAGGAAAGGAGGTGGTCCCACACACCCGTGGGCACGTAGGCGCGGTTCTCCGAGCACTGTGCAGGTGCGTACGCAGGGCCAGCCGTATGTCGGTATCCACGTCCCACACCACTGGCGCGATGATACGGAATGGAGGGACGATGGGGGTCTCCTCTCCCTGCCTCTCCTCTGCGTCACAGAGGTGAGATAGGGCATCCGCCTTCATGTTCTTCGAGCCTGGCCTATAGGAAAGCGTGAATTGGAACCTGGCGAAGAATAGAGCTGACCTGTCTTGGGTTTAGCCTCTTCGCTGCCCTGATGTACTCCAGGTTGCGGTGGTCCGTCCACACCAGGAAAGGGTGTTTGGACCCCTCCAGCCAGTCCCTCCAAGCCTTCAGAGCCTTCTTGACCGCCAAGAGTTCCCGGTCCCCTACGTCATAGTTCCTCTGGGCGTGACTCAGCTGCTTGGAGTAGAAGGCGCAGGGCCGCAGTTTTGGAGGGGTTCCGGTGCGCTGGGACAGCACTGCCCCGACTCCTACTTCGGAGGCATCCACCTCGACGATGAAGGGGAGTCAGGGGTCGGGATGTGCCAGCACGGGAGCAGTGGGGAAGTATGACTTCAGCGTCTCGAACGCCCTCTCCGCCTCCGCCGTCCAACGATGCTGCTGGGGACCTCCTCTCAGCAGGGAGGTAAAAGGCGCGACCACCGTGCTGAAGCCCCGGATGAACCTCCGGAAACAGTTGGTGAACCCCAGGAATCGCTGGACTGCTTTCATGGAGTTGGGGGTGGGCCATGACCTGACTGCGCTGACGCGTTGCTCCTCCATCTCCACTCCCTCAGTGGATATGAGGTAGCCCAAAAAGACACTACATCGCCACAAAATCTACAGGTAGAGCTCGAAAATTCAATCCCCTTGGGTGCTGCAATAGACTTACATTAGAAGTGCCCATCCAAGAAGGCTCAAGATCATTGGACATTAAAATGACGTCAAATCACGTTATATCTACCGTAACTTTGATTGGACTGATCATGGCAACATCATACTTTCAAAATCTTAGCTAGCAAGCTAGACAAGCAGTCATCATCATGAATCAAGTCGACAATCTACTGGCAAATCCTTTTCAATCCTTGTTATTTGAAGATAAATTATAGATAAAACGTATCGGTGCTCATCGGCCATTGGATATAAACATTACACAACAAGTTGGAAATCACAAATTCAACAATGAGTGCTGAGGCGCGACTGCAGCCTCGGGTTCGATCCCAGGCTGTCACAGCCGGCCGTGACCGGGAGACCCATGGGACGCCGCACAATTGGCCCAGCGTCGTCCGGGTTAGGTGAGGGTTTGGCCTGCCGGGATAACCATTTAAAGAGATGGCCGAGGCTGTGGATAAGAAGGTAATCCTTACAAAAAAAGATTGCAGTTTTGAAACTGCAGTAAAGTGCAGTAACTGCAGTCAACTGTGGTATTTTGGACGCAGTAATTGCAGTATACTGCAGTTATACTGCACTCTGACTGCAATCTTTTTTCGTAAGGGTTAACCGCCCACCTGAAACCCTCTTCCCCAAAGCTAAAGACCCGAATCGAGTGTTTTTTTGTCTTAGAGTAACGTTATAAGCCTACTATGCTATTAAGGGTCATATCCAGGGTCTGAAGTTGAAGCTCATTTACTGCATTTCTATACAATTTAAAAACTCAAAAATGCTATTTGGAAAAAAGCAAAAACAAGCAAAAATGACCCCAGCCATTGGTTGCAGTAGCTTCATTCACCTCACATAGCCTATTAGCTATACAAATTAGCCGCTACACATTAACTCAGCACTGGGATTCAAAACTATAATTGAATATGTACAGAGGGATCTGTAAGCAGAACAATTATTTTATTAACAAAATGTAAACAAATACATTTGCTTTACAGAACTTGTATTTTTTCGCAGTTTCACAGCTAATTTTCTGCAATTCTACACATTTTACCATGACTTATGCCATGTTAACGTGATATCTGAGTGAGAGCGACTAACAAAATCAATGGGGGCCCGGTTAGTAATTCAGCCATGATTACTACATGGTGGCAGGTAGCCTAGCTGTTAAGAGCATTAAGCCGGTAACCGAAAGGTCGCTGGTTTGAATCCCTGAGCCGACCAAGGGAAAAATCTGTCAATGTGCCCTTTAGCAAGTTACCTAACTCTAATTGCTCTGGATAAGAGTGTCTGCTGAAATGTACAAGTTTAGAAAGCAGGCTAGACTGATTTACCAATCTGTAGAATGTTAACTGACATTTGAGTGACATGTAACAAGAGGAAAATTGCCAATGCACAACCAAGTTTCGAAATTGCACCTTATGTAATCTAACTTTCAACAATGAGTTGAGACCCTACACAGCACAGTTGAAAAATATATGGCAAATGAAAATGTCTTTTTGCACCCAACCCAATGTAGCTTAATCTGTTTTTATGTCATATCAATAGTTTTCATGACCTGCCCTGAGTAAACATAGGCAAACAATAGTTTTCATGACCTGCCCTGAGTAAACATAGGCAAACAATAGTTTTCATGACCTGCCCTGAGTAAACATAGGCAAACAATAGTTTTCATCACCTGCCCTGAGTAAACATAGGCAAACAATAGTTTTCATGACCTGCCCTGAGTAAACATAGGCAAACAATAGTTTTCATCACCTGCCCTGAGTAAACATAGCCGTACAGCTGTGGTAGGATTTATTAGGATATGCACAAAGGAATGCAAATATGTACACTGTGATTTCCCCCCTAGAGACACAACACATGTTCTATATCTCTCTCTGTCTCTCTCATACACTCAAACCCCTGTCTCCTCCTCCTTTTCCCTCCAGCCAGTCTCTACAGATCTACTGCTTTAGACCAGAGGAGCACAGCACCATGGTTGTGTCCAAGGCCTGGACATTACGACAGGACTTCCAGGGTTTCCCCAAGGCTAGTGACTTCCATCTGAGGGAGGAGACACTGCCGCAGCCCAGGGATGGACAGGTGAGCATAGGATAGGACAGACTTTAAAGGGCAATTCCACCACTTTTCATTATCTGCAGCACAATACCAGTGTCTACATACAGTGGGGGAAAAAAGTATTTAGTCAGCCACCAATTGTGCAAGTTCTCCCACTTAAAAAGATGAGAGAGGCCTGTAATTTTCATCATAGGTACACGTCAACTATGACAGACAAAATGAGGAAAAATAATCCAGAAAATCACATTGTAGGATTTTTAATGAATTTATTTGCAAATTATGGTGGAAAATAAGTATTTGGTCAATAACAAAAGTTTCTCAATACTTTGTTATATACCCTTTGTTGGCAATGACACAGGTCAAACGTTTTCTGTAAGTCTTCACAAGGTTTTCACACACTGTTGCTGGTATTTTGGCCCATTCCTCCATGCAGATCTCCTCTAGAGCAGTGATGTTTTGGGGCTGTCGCTGGGCAACACGGACTTTCAACTCCCTCCAAAGATTTTCTATGGGGTTGAGATCTGGAGACTGGCTAGGCCACTCCAGGACCTTGAAATGCTTCTTACGAAGCCACTCCTTCGTTGCCCGGGCGGTGTGTTTGGGATCATTGTCATGCTGAAAGACCCAGCCACGTTTCATCTTCAATGCCCTTGCTGATGGAAGGAGGTTTTCACTCAAAATCTCACGATACATGGCCCCATTCATTCTTTCCTTTACACGGATCAGTCGTCCTGGTCCCTTTGCAGAAAAATAGCCCCAAAGCATGATGTTTCCACCCCCATGCTTCACAGTAGGTTTGGTGTTCTTTGGATGCAACTCAGCATTCTTTGTCCTCCAAACATGACGAGTTGAGTTTTTACCAAAAAGTTATATTTTGGTTTCATCTGACCATATGACATTCTCCCAATCCTCTTCTGGATCATCCAAATGCACTCTAGCAAACTTCAGACGGGCCTGGACATGTACTGGCTTAAGCAGGGGGACACGTCTGGCACTACAGGATTTGAGTCCCTGGCGGCGTAGTGTGTTACTGATGGTAGGCTTTGTTACTTTGGTCCCAGCTCTCTGCAGGTCATTCACTAGGTCCCCCCGTGTGGTTCTGGGATTTTTGCTCACCGTTCTTTTGATCATTTTGACCCCACGGGGTGAGATCTTGCGTGGAGCCCCAGATCGAGGGAGATTATCAGTGGTCTTGTATGTCTTCCATTTCCTAATAATTGCTCCCACAGTTGATTTCTTCAAACCAAGCTGCTTACCTATTGCAGATTCAGTCTTCCCAGCCTGGTGCAGGTCTACAATTTTGTTTCTGGTGTCCTTTGACAGCTCTTTGGTCTTGACCATAGTGGAGTTTGGAGTGTGACTGTTTGAGGTTGTGGACAGGTGTCTTTTATACTGATAACAAGTTCAAACAGGTGCCATTAATACAGGTAACGAGTGGAGGACAGAGGAGCCTCTTAAAGAAGAAGTTACAGGTCTGTGAGAGCCAGAAATCTTGCTTGTTTGTAGGTGACCAAATACTTATTTTCCACCATAATTTGCAAATAAATTCATTAAAAATCCTACAATGTGATTTTCTGGAATTTTTTTTCTCAATTTGTCTGTCATAGTTGACGTGTACCTATGATGAAAATTACAGGCCTCTCTCATCTTTTTAAGTGGGAGAACTTGCACAATTGGTGGCTGACTAAATACTTTCTTTCCCCACTGTATGTGGAAAAGGCACATTTCTATGTGTTGTAGAAAACATAACATTAAAAAGTTCTACCCGATGACATCATAAAAAGTTTAAACATTTTAAAGAGTGGTTTTCCAACACTGAGATTCGCGGTGATGTGGGGAGCAAGAAAATACCTTCCCTCTGGGTAGAACCTCTTTGCAGGTTTTGAAAATCACAGTTTTTAAACTTTTAATCCTACCCTGTTATGTCACAGAGAAGCATTTTTTAGGACATTCTTATCTTTAACGACGGATCATAGAAACACACTCACATACAGTGCCTTTGGAAAGTATTCAGTCCCCTTGACTTTTTCCACATTTTGTTAGATTACAGCCTTATTCTAAAACGTATTAAATAGTTTTTTCCCCTCATCAATCTACACACAATACCCCATAATGACAATGCAAAAACAGGTTTTTAGAAAATGTTGCTGATTTATAAAAAACGGAAATATCAGACCCTTTACTCAGTACTTTGTTGAAGCACCTTTGGCAGTGATGACAGTCTTGAGTCTTCTTGCGTATGACGCTACAAACTTGGCACACCTGTATTTGGGGAGTTTCTCCCATTCTTCTCTGCAGATCCTCTCAAGCTCTGTAAGGTTGGATGGGGAGTGTCGCTGCACAGCTATTTTCAGGTCTCTCCAGAGATGTTCGATCGGGTTCAAGTCCGGGCTCTGGCTGGGCCACTCAAGGACATTCAGAAACTTGATGCCACAACCATGCTTCACTGTAGGGATGGTGCCAGGTTTCCTCCAGACGTGACGCTTGGCATTCAGGCCAAAGAGTTCAATCTTGATTTTATCAGACCAGAGAATCTTGTTTCTCATGGTCTGAGAGTCTTTAGGTGCCTTTTGGCAAACTCCAAGCGAGCTATCATGTGCCTTTTACTGAGGAGTGGCTTCCGTCTGGCCACTCTACCATAAAGGCCTGATTGGTGGAGTGCTGCAGAGATGGTTGTCCTTCTGGAAGGTTCTCCCATCTCCACAGAGGAACTCTAGAGCTCTGTCAGAGTGACCATCGGGTTCTTGGTCACCTCCCTGACCAAGGCCCTTCTCCCCGATTGCTCAGTTTGGCCGGGCGGCCAGCTCTTGGAAGAGTCTTGGTGGTTCCAAACTTCTTCCATTTAAGAATGATGGAGGCCACTGTGTTCTTGGGGACCTTCAATGATGCAGAAATGGTTTGGTACCCTTCCCCAGATCTGTGCCTCAACACAATCCGGTCTCAGAGTATCACGACTCAGGATATGACCCAGCTGCAGACACAGGAGGCGGATCGTACAGTTCTCAATAATAATTTATTAGAACACGGGGCAGGCAAAGGGCAGGTCGAGGACAGGCAGAGGTTCGTAATCAGGTCAGAGTCAGGCAGGAACAGAACGGCAGGCAAGCTCGGGGTCAGGGCAGGCAGAGGTTCGTAATCAGGTCAGAGTCAGGCAGGTACAGGACGGCAGGCAGGCCGGGGTCAGGGCAGGCAGAGGTTTGTAATCAGGTCAGAGTCAGGCAGGTACAGGACGGCAGGCAGGCTCGGGGTCATGGCAGGCAGAATGGTCAGAACCGGGAAAACTAGGAAATAAACACTTGAGAAACAGGAAAACGGGAAAGCACGCTGGTAAGACCTGACAAGACAAACTGGCAACAGACAAATTGAGAACACAGGTATAAATGCACTGGGGATAATGGGGAAGATGGGCGACACCTGGAGGGGGTGGAGACAAGCACAAAGACAGGTGAAACCGATCAGGGTGTGACACAGAGCTCTACGGACAATTCCTTCGACCTCATGGCTTGGTTTTTGCTCTGATATGCACTGTCAACTGTTGGACCTTATATAGACAGGTGTGCGCATTTTCAAATCATGTCCAATCAATTGAATTTACCACAGGTGGACTCCAATGAAGTTGTAGAAACATCTCAAGGATGATCAATGGAAACAGGATGCACCTGAATACTTGTAAATAAGTATTAGTGTTTTTGATTTTAAAATGTTTTTGCTTTGTCATTATGGGGTATTGTGTGTAGATTGCTGAGGATTTTTTTTCTTTAATCCATTTTAGAATAAGGCTGTAACGTAACAAAATGTGGAAAAATTCAAGGGGTCTTTCCGAAGGCACTGTATGTACTGGAGATAATGAATATGAAGTTGAAAAGTGCTGAAATGACCCTTTAATGTCCCAGAGGGGAAAATTGTCTTGGACACATACAGTAGCCCTACCGGAAATTTCACACAAAATTAACACATTCCTTTTGCAATTTTAACATGTTCCATAGTATGTGAAATGACTTGATAACCTGTCGTTAAAACATTTGGATTTGAAACAGGTTATCTGGGCCGAAACAGGGAGGGACTAATCAGAATTTGTCCAATAAAAAAAAGTGTGTTCTTTGCAAAACAGTATGCACTAATGAATACACCCTTGAACAAATTACTAATTTTTGTTGCAAAATGTATTCCGTTGCAAAACGTTTCACTACAGTGTTCACTAATGAATACACCCCTGCTCAGGTGCTGTTGAAGGCTGTGTTCCTCAGTGTGGACTCTTACATGAGACCGTACAGCCAGACGATGATGAAGGAGGGAGACGTGATTATTGGGTCACAAGTTGCCAAGTAAGGGAACATTATGGGGGGCATGTGGACGCAAACACACTATAGACTTTCTATACTGCATTTCTATACAATTAAAAAACTCAAATTTGAAAAAAATAATTAAAAGCAAAAATGACCCCAGCCATTATCACATTGGTTGCTGTAGCTTCATTCACCTCAGTCAATCTATAAACAAATAGCCTATTAGCTATACAAATTAGCCGCTACACATTAACTCAGCACTGGGATTCAAAACTATAGTTGAATATGTACAGAGGGATATGTAAGCAGAAAAAGTAATTTATTAACAAAAGGTAAACAAATAAATGTGCTTTAGAGAACTTGTATTTTTTCGCAGTTTCACAGCTAATTTTCTGCAATTCCACACATTTTACCATGACTTATGCCATGATATCATAATATCTGAGTGAGAGCGACTAACAAAATCAATGGGGGCCCCCTGGGCACCTGCCCTGTGTGCCCGGTCAGTAATTCAGCCATGATTACTACATGGTGGCAGGTAGCCTAGCTGTTAAGAGCATTGAGCCGGTAACTGAAAGGTCGCTGGTTCGAATCGCTGGGCCGACTAGGTGAAAAATCTGCTGGTGCCCTTGAGCAAGTTACTTAACTCTAATTGCTCTGGATGAGAGAGTCTACTAAAATGTACAAGTTGAGATAGCTGGCTAGACTAATTTACCAATCTGTAAAATGTTAACTGACATGGGCTAATTGAGTGACATATAACAAGAGGAAAACTGCCAATGCACAAACAAGTTTCGAAATTGCACCTTATGTATTCTAACTTTCAACAATGAGTTGAGACCTTACTTTGGTTTTAGTTTTAGTTTTTTTCACCTTTATTTAACCAGGTAAGCCAGTTGAGAACAGGTCCTCATTTACAACTGTGACCTGGCCAAGATAAAGCAAAGCAGTGCGATAAAAACAACAACAACACAGAGTTACATATGGGGTAAAACAAAACATAAAGTCAAAAATACAACAGAAAATCTATATACAGTGTGTGCAAATGTAGTAAGTTATGGAGGTAAGGCAATAAATAGGCAATAGTGCAAAATAGTTACAATTTAGTATTAACACTGGAGAGATAGATGTGCAAAAGATGATGTGCAAATAGAGATATTGGGGTGCAAATGAGCAAAATATATAACTATTGGGATGAGGTAGTTGGGTGGGCTAATTACAGATGGGCTGTGCACAGGTGCAGTGATCGGTAAGCTGCTCTGACAACTGATGCTTAAAGTTAGTGAGGGAGATAAGAGTCTCCAGCTTCAGAGATTTTTGCAGTTCGTTCCAGTCATTGGCAGCAGAGAACTGGAAGGAATGGCGGCCAAAGGAGGTGTTGGCTTTGGGGATGACCAGTGAGCTATACCTGCTGGAGCGCATATTACGGGTGGGTGTTGCTATGGTGACCAATGAGCTAAGATAAGGCGGGGATTTGCCTAGCAGTGATTTATAGATGACTTCGAGCCAGTGGGTTTGGCGACGAATATGTAGTGAGGGCCAGCCAACGAGAGCGTATAGGTCACAATGGTGGGTAGTATATGGGGCTTTGGTGACAAAATGGATGGCACTGTGATAGACTACATCCAATTTGCTGAGTAGAGTGTTGGAGGCTATTTTGTAAATGACATCGCCGAAGTCAAGGATCGGTCGGATAGTCAGTTTTACGAGGGCATGTTTGGCAGCATGAGTGAAGGAGGCTTTGTTGCGAAATAGGAAGCCGATTCTAGATTTAACTTTGGATTGGAGATGCTTAATGTGAGTCTGGAAGGAGAGTTTACGGTCTAACCAGACACCTAGGTATTTGTAGTTGTCCACATATTCTAAGTCAGACCCGCCGAGAGTAATGATTCTAGTCGGGCGGGCGGGTGCAAGCAGCGTTCGATTGAAGAGCATGCATTTAGTTTTAATAGCGTTTAAGAGCAGTTGGAGGCTACAGAAGGAGTGTTGTATGGCATTGAAGCTCGTTTGGAGGTTTGTTAACACAGTGTCCAATGAAGGGCCAGATGTATACAAAATGGTGTTGTCTGCGTAGAGGTGGATCTGAGAGTCACCAGCAGCAAGAGTGACATCATTGATATATACAGAGAATAGAATCGGCCGGAGAATTGAACCCTGTGGCACCCCCATAGAGACTGCCATAGGTCCAGACAACAGGCCCTCCGATTTGACACATTGAACTCTATCTGAGAAGTAGTTGGTGAACCAGGCGAGGCAGTTATTTGAGAAACCAAGGCTATTTAGTCTGCCAATAAGAATGCGGTGATTGACAGAGTCGAAAGCCTTGGCCAGGTCAATGAAGACGGCTGCACAGTACTGTCTTTTATCGATCGCAGTTATAATATCGTTTAGGACCTTGAGCGTGGCTGAGGTGCACCCATGACCAGCTCGGAAACCAGATTGCATAGCGGAGAAGGTACGGTGGGATTCGAAATGGTCGGTGATCTGTTAGTTAACTTGGCTTTCAAAAACTTTCGAAAGGCAGAGCAGGATGGATATACAGGTAAAAGTCAGTAAATTAGAATATTTTGAAAAACTTGATTTATTTCAGTAATTGCATTCAAAAGGTGTAACTTGTACATTATATTTATTCATTGCACACAGACTGATGCATTCAAATGTTTATTTCATTTAATTTTGATGATTTGAAGTGGCAACAAATGAAAATCCAAAATTCCGTGTGTCACAAAATTAGAATATTGTGTAAGGGTTACATTTTGAAGACACCTGGTGCCACAAAATAATCAGCTGATTAACTCAAAACACCTGCAAAGGGCTTTAAATGGTCTCTCAGTCCAGTTCTGAAGCCTACACAAACATGGGGAAGACTTCAGATTTGACAGCTGTCCAAAAGGCGACCAAATCAAATCAAATCAAATCAAATTTTATTGGTCACATGCGCCGAATACAACAGGTGCAGACATTACAGTGAAATGCTTACTTACAGCCCTTAACCAACAGTGCATTTATTTTAAACAAAAAAGTAAGAATAAAACAACAACAAAAAAGTGTTGAGAAAAAAAGAGCAGAAGTAAAAAATAAAGTGACAGTAGGGAGGCTATATATACAATAGAATAAAGTGACAGTAGGGAGGCTATATATACAGGGGGGTACCGTTGCATAGTCAATGTGCGGGGGCACCGGCTAGTTGAGGTAATATGTACATGTGGGTAGAGTTAAAGTGACTATGCATAAATACTTAACAGAGTAGCAGCAGCAGCGTAAAAAGGATGGGGTGGGGGGGCAGTGCAAATAGTCCGGGTAGCCATGATTAGCTGTTCAGGAGTCTTATGGCTTGGGGGTAGAAGCTGTTGAGAAGTCTTTTGGACCTAGACTTGGCACTCCGGTACCGCTTGCCGTGCGGTAGCAGAGAGAACAGTCTATGACTAGGGTGACTGGAGTCTTTGACAATTTTGAGGGCCTTCCTCGGACCATCGACACATTGCACAAGGAGGGAAAGACACAAAAGGTTATTGCAGAAGAGGCTGGCTGTTCTCAGAGCTCTGTGTCCAAACACATTAATAGAGAGGCAAAGGGAAGGAAAAACTGTGGTCAGAAAAAGTGTACAAGCGATAGGGATCACCGCGCCCTAGTCAAGATTGTGAAAAAAAACCCATTCAAAAATGTGGGGGAGATTCACAAGGAGTGGACAGCTGCTGGAGTCAGGGCTTCAAGATCCACCACCAAGAGACGCTTGAAAGACATGGGTTTCAACTGCCGCATACCTCGTGTCAAGCCACTGTTGACCAAGAAACAGCGCGAAAAGCGTCTCACCTGGGCTAAGGAAAAAAAGAGCTGGACTGCTGCTGAGTGGTCTAAAGTCATGTTTTCTGACGAAAGCAAATGTTGCATTTCCTTTGGAAATCGAGGTCCCAGAGTCTGGAGGAAGACAGGAGAGGCACAGGATCCACGTTGCCTGAAGTCTAGTGTAAAGTTTCCACCATCAGTGATGGTTTGGGGTGCCATGTCATCTGCTGGTGTCGGTCCACTCTGTTTCCTGAGATCAAGGGTCAACGCAGCCGTCTACCAGCAAGTTTTAGAGCACTTCATGCTTCCTGCTGCTGACCTGCTCTATGGAGATGGAGATTTCAGGTTCCAACAGGACTTGGCGCCTGCACACAGCGCAAAATCTACCCGTGCCTGGTTTACGGACCATGGTATTTCTGTTCTAAATTGGCCAGCCAACTCCCCTGACCTTAGCCCCATAGAAAATCTGTGGGGTATTGTGAAAAGGAAGATGCAGAATGCCAGACCCAACAACGCAGAAGAGTTGAAGGCCACTATCAGAGCAACCTGGGCTCTCATAACACCTGAGCAGTGCCAGAAACTCATCGACTCCATGCCACGCCGCATTAATGCAGTAATTGAGGCAAAAGGAGCTCCAAACCAAGTATTGAGTATTGTACATGCTCATATTTTTCATTTTAATACTTTTCAGTTGGCCAACATTTCTAAAAAATCCCTTTTTTGTATTAGCCTTAAGTAATATTCTAATTTTGTGACACACGGAATTTTGGATTTTCATTTGTTGCCACTTCAAATCATCAAAATTAAATGAAATAAACATTTGAATGCATCAGTCTGTGTGCAATGAATAAATATAATGTACAAGTTACACCTTTTGAATGCAATTACTGAAATAAATCAAGTTTTTCAAAATATTCTAATTTACTGACTTTTACCTGTAGGTCTGTAACAGTTTCAATCTAGTGTCACCCCCTTTGAAGAGGGGGGGGGACCGCGGCAGCTTTCCAATCTCTGGGGATCTCAGACGATACGAAAGAGAGGTTGAACAGGCTAGTAATAGGGGTTGCGACAATTTCGGCGGCTAATTTTAGAAAGAAAGGGTCCAGATTGTCTAGCCCAGCTAATTTGTAGGGGTCCAGATTTTGCAACTCTTTCAGAACATCAGCTGCCTGAATTTGAGTGAAAGAATAGCGGGTGGGGGCATGGGAAAGTTGCAGCAGAGGGTGCAGAGCTGGTGGCCGGGGTAGCCAGGTGAAA